TAGTGTTGACTAAAGTTTCTGTCCTGCCAGGTCCTGCTGCCCTTCAGCCCCAAGCAAACACACTGTTGGGTGATGACTAGGGCTTCTTACTGGCTAGTTCTCTCTTTATTATTAACCTTAACTACTAATCTGTGTATTTCTTCATGGCCTTCTCTTACCAGAAAATGCCTGGTGTGTCCTATCTTCCTGATCTCAACATGGTGTTTCTTGGAGGCCTCTTCTGCCTTTCTCTACCCAGTCTTCCCCTGGTCTGGTAGCCCTGCCTGTACTTCCTTGCCTGGCTATTGGCCAATCAATGTTTTATTCATCAACCAGTAAGAGAAAGACATATACAGAAGGATGTCCCCCATCACATTAGCTTGCTGCTGATACCCCTGCCCACTCTCATTTTCAGTTGCCCAAGATTAGTGGCCTGATAGCCAAGAGGACTGGATTTAACCAGGATGCTATTGTGTCAGGTGAGGAAAGGAACTGCTGTTGTGAATTGCAAATGGTGGATTGTAAAATTAAATTAGGTAAAGGTAGAAATGAGCCTCTAAAAAGGAGGAAGAACTGTGGAAAAAAATGGTTGCCAGGTTACAAGATAAGTCCTGGCCTGGTGGGGATAAAAATAGGAAAGGGAGATCTATAGACGACAGGAATATAAAGTAACAGGCCAGACTTTTAGAACCCCTTTTTGTGGTTATTAAAATTGAAAGATATGTGACAAGAATAGGGTTGAGTCATTAAATACTATCATTAACTATTATCCTGGGACAGTGAGAAGAATTTTTCAGACAGGGTTTCTCTGTGTAGCCTGGTAGTCTTGGGACTTTCTCTGTAGATCAGGCTGGCCTCAAACTGAAAAGATCTGCCTGCCTTTGCCTCCCTAGTGCTGGGATTAAAGGCCTGTGCCCCTATGCTTGGCTTGTTTTCCGTGTGCATAGCTAGTGGGAATTGCTTCTCTTCTTTTCCTGTGTGGGTCCTAGAGATTGAGTTTGATGGCCAGCCAGCCTGGTTTAATCAGTGAGTTCCTGGCCAAGACCCTATTTCCAAATTGGAAAAAAAAAACAAAAAACTCAAAACCACAAACAACAACAACAAAAAAGTTGACATGGACAGTATCTGGGGAAGGACATTTGTCCCTTGGCTTCTATATGTATGTGGACACACACATACATGCTTGCACACACAACTTCAACTTGTATGCCTGGTCTATTAGTCTCCCCAGGGCTAGGTTATTGGAGTGCACTATATCACTGAATGTAGTTTTTGTTTTTTTTGTTTTTGTTTTTTTTTTTTTTTTTTAGTTTAAAGGCTAGAATTTTAACCACTAAATTGATTTAAACTCTGAAAAATGTTTAGTAATTTCTTCCTGGCTGCTTAGATTGTACTAAATACAACTTGATTTAAATATTTTAAAAATTATTTTATGTGTGTGATGTTTTGCTTGCATGTCATGATCAGGAGTGGTGTCCATGGAAGCCAGAAGAATGCATTGGATCCCCTGGAACTATAGTGTGGTTATGAGCTGCTCTGTGGGTGCTGGGAATTGAACCCAGATCCATTAGCCGCCTCATTCCTCCTAACCCTATTTTCCTTTTTTCCCCTTAAAATCAGATTGATAAACGAGGCAAAAGTCTTGGACTGTGATTTAGATTCTATCAGTTGTGCCCAACCTTTTGACATTGTGACATGCTGTCATTTACAAAGTTCATGCTTGAAAGTAAAACCACACAGTTGAGTTATAAAAATATTCACAAAAATTTAATATTTAAGTTTATGATTATTTGTTGGGCTGCAGTTGTAGCTGTCATTGGGTGCATGTAACCCACGTTGGACATGCCTGTAAGATATGCCATGTTGTACCTGACATGTATCTGGTTAGTAGTGCAACCTTAATTTTATTCTGTTTCATTAGTAAAAACTGTGAAGTTGAATGAGAGTTATAAGTTCATTTATAGCCCATCCCAATGTGATCTGTAGATACTGCTTTTATATAGTTATTGTGTATATTGTCACACTGTGAAGTTTTCAAAGGTTCTTGTGTGTGCGGAGGAGTTGCTCTCTGTGCAGACCTTGACCAAATCAGTGGTCAGGGTTCCATCGAAACGTCACAAATTTCTTCATCATGCTTTCTTGATTTCGTTTGCTTTCATTGTTCTTCCTTAATTTTGCTGGCCTAATAGCTTCATCCTTTTACAGAGTAAAGTTTATTGACTTTAAGTTATTGATATGTTTATTGGCTGAGCCATCTCTCCAGCCTGTGGACTTTCAGTTCTTAGTGAACATAGAGCAGTCTTTTCACTACTGAATTCATAGGAACATAATGAGTGGTTGACTTTCTTAGAATAAAGTAGTGTTGAGAATGGAAGGTGCAGAAGACTACATGGATTTTATATGGATGTTATAGTTGTAATGAAAGGTGAAAGGAACATTTTTGAGATACTTCTAAGAAATTGTTTTAGTAGTACTTGTGCATTCTCCATGTGATGTGTTCAGTAATCACACTTTTATTTGAACCTGTCCCCCCCCCCCCTCCTCTCTCTGTGTGTGTGTCTGTCTGTCTGTCTAAATTTCATTTATTTTAGGGAGATTTTTGTAAACCAGTTAGGGGAAGTTGGTTGTAAGTTGTGCATTTAGATCATAGTAGAGTGCCATTTGAGGTCAGTTTTCGGCCTATGTTTTCTTGTAAATATTAAATGGAGTTAAATGACTTAATTTCCAAAGTCCAAAAAGAATTTCCTTAAGAGAGCAACTATAATGTTAAGATCCTGTTAATGGTAGCAGTATGGAGAGTGTAACATGAAAAATAAGAGACCCAGAGACTGATATTGGGATTCAAGCTTCAAGCTGAGGCTCAGAGAAGGAAAGCAGTCAGCCATTAATTAGCTCTTACCTTAACTTCAGGCTAAAATGGTGATCCTGTCTCCTCTACACCTTAGACTGCTGCCTTTCCTCAGTGTGAATGGAATCAATTTCTTCCTATCCTCAGTGGCCAGCTCTGAGACACTGTTCCTGTCTTTAATACCTCCCAAGAGTTCTGTTATTAAATGCTTGAGTTCTGTTATTCTTTTAGACTGAAACAATTTCCTGTAACCCTGGTGGCCTTGAACTCACAGAGATCCATCTGCCTTTGTCTCTTAAACTCTAGGATTAAAGGTGTTTGCCACCACTGTCCAGCCTCTATGGCTAACTAATATATCTGCTTTGCTATTTTGATCTCCAATGGTTTTAATAAATCATAAACCATAGGACAGGGTTTTCATATTTGAAGCAGACTCACAAACTACTATTTAGATAAGTAGGAAACTATTTCTTTTGCATCGTCTGTAGTTTTCTTATTCTGATAGCTGCATTGTTAAAGCCTGGGATTTATTTGTCTTGATCTAGCCCTTGTTTGTTGAATGTCTAGCTACATTCAGAATTTCAGCCACATTCACAATTATTTTTTTCTTATATGTAGTAAAATAATATCTCATGAACTAATATGGGTAGTAGAATGATTATCAAGGCTTTTGACAAGTAATCCAAGGGCATTCATTCCCTTGGATATCCAGAAGTAATGAAGAAATAAGCCAAAAATGTAGTGGAGTTTTCAAGTCTGGGGCATGAATATTTACAGATCAAGGGGATGCTTTAGAGGGTATGGAATCCCTATCCCTGTCATCTCCCCCACCCCCACACTGTCTCTTTAAGGAGTTAAGAAACAGAACCAGAAAAAATATTCTGAATTTTAGTCCTAAAAACAAAGGATAAAGATTATGCCAACATATACTGTCATTGTAATGGTAGTATTAAATGGGAAAGCATGGTAAATCAGTGGTATATTAAGATGCTTCAAGCATTTGAGTTTTCATGTGTGTCTGACAGAGTGTCAATTTTGTAAGTCTAAGGTTAGTTGTAGCATTATTATCCTTAGTAGCAGTATTGCCTTTTTAGGTGGTGACTCTTTAGTGAGTCTGCCTGCCTTTACAGATACATTTAGGGATCCAGTTGTCACACTGTAGCTACCAGGAAGGTTGCTTTTTCTGCCCATATCACTTAGACTTCTGGACCTATGCGAGTTTTGTTTGAGATAATGTAATTATTAAAAAAAAAAAGTCTCAAGAGATAACATAGTGGTTAAGAGCAAGTAGTGTTTTCCCAGAAGACCTGTGTTCAATTCCTAGCACCATGTATGTACCAGGCTTTTATTTTTTTGGGCCACTAACCAGCTCCCAAATCATTATCTACTTTTTTTTTTTTTTTTTTTAAGCTTTTCTTCCTTCTGTATATGTTACTTTCACTGGTTTTCATGTCTGGTGACTGCCTGGCTTCTTGTCCCAAGTGTAACCTTTTCTTTCCCTCTTGTTCTCTTTCTTGAACCTAGATTTTTTCCTTTTATTTTCTGTGCCTGTCAGCCCCGTCTATCCTATTTCTGATTGGCTATTTTCTGATCAGTATGTGTGTTTGTTTGTTTTCTTCGAGACAGGGTTTGTCTGTGTAACATCCCTAGCTGTCCTGGAACTCACTTTATACACAGACTGGCCTGGAACTCAGAGATCTGCCTGCCTCTGCCTCCAGAGTGCTGGGATTAAAGGCCTTCCTTCAGTCAGACCAGGTGCTGTAAGTGGGCAAAGTGAAACAAATGCAACACATCTTCACATGGTTAACAAAGGCAGCAGAAACAAATGTAACACACCTTTACACAGCTAAAGTATTCCACAACATAAACAGATGTAACACATCTTTACCTAGTTAAATATTCCACAACACATGTAGCTTGGAACTACTTGTAACTCTAGCTCCAAGGAATCCAGTGTTACCTTCTGACTTCCTTGACACGGCACCCACTTAGACTTGGCACACACAGATATAAATACACATACATATAAATAAATAAATTTGGTAAATTTTGTCAATAATGTTTGTTTCTTTGAAATCAACATAGTGATATTGGATGATGTTTATGGGCCCCACATTTAGGTTTGGAGCTAATTGTAGACAAGTTGAAAAGTTGTTTTTCTCTTTTCTTGCAGGTGTAATCCAGAGAACAATTTTCAGACATCTTTGATTATATTTGACACTGAGCAGTCAGGGGATTCAGGCATATGAGGAGGTACTGTCACACAAAACAGTGTCTAGTGAAGACGACAAGAAAGAGAGAAAAGGATCGGAAAAAGAAGCTAAAATATCATAGGAAACCATGGTGGGTGATGACTGGTATTTCTTTCATATTTTTTTTGTTATAAAAGATTATATAATGTACAATTAGAAATGTTAACAGTATGGGTAGATAGTGAACAGTTGTCTTGGTTTTGGTGCCTCAGATAAAGATAGTTGCTCTGCTGTTTTAACATACATACATACATACATATATATATATGTATGTATGTATGTCAGAGACAGCTTACAAAAGTTGGGTCTCTCCCTTTTACTATATGAGTTTCATGGAACAAACTCAGGTTGTCAGACTTTTCTAGTCATTAGAAAAGATTATGGGGAGTTAGGGAGGTGGCTCAGAGGTTAAAAACATTTCCTACAATGAACCTGGATTGGAATTCTCAGCAAGCACATAGTATTTCATAACTATTTGTAACTCCAATTGTGGAGTATCCGATGCCATCTTCTGGCTTCCTTGGGTACTGCGTGAGTCTGATGCACAGTCATACATGCTGTGTGGCAAAGACCCACACACATACAAGATTAATAATAAATCTTAAAGAAAAGATTAGAACTGAGTGGTGGTGACGTACACCTTTAATCTCAGCACTCAGAAGGAAGAGGCAAGCAGATCTTTCTGAGTTTGAGTGCAGCCTGGTGAGTGAGTTCTAGGACAGCCATGGTGGTTACACAGAGATACCTTGTCTCAAGAAACATAAAAAAACAAAACAAAACAAAAAAGATTAGTTTTCCATAACTCAGAAAATATAAAGAGTAGGATTGCCTAGGATAATATAATAAAACTGGCATTAACAAATCACTGTAGCTTAGTAATCTTGAACTTTAATTTCTGTCTAGACTTTAAAGTACAGAATTTTTTCTCATGATAATTAAATAACCTGTAGACATGAATGTTTTAACTTGAAAGGTACCTACCTCTTTTATATGGTTTTAAAATAATAGAATTAATTGTTAGACATACTAAGGAGTATTAGAGTGAATGTCAAGGAAGCTTGATTTTTGTGAGAGGTAAGATTTTGAATTCATGGTATGAGGTGAGGAAATTATTTCTGGTATTTTTCAAGACAGAGTTTCTCTGTGTAGTAGTTCTGGATGTCCTGGAACTCACTCTGTAGATTAAGTTGGCCTCAAATACACAGAAATCCACCTGCCTCTGCCTCACAAGTGCTGAGATTAAAGGCATGCTCCACCACTGCCCAGTGTTTATAGAGCCTCTTGAAGTTACAATGTCATGTAGTATATGGATGATGTTTGGGAGAGGGGTAATCAGAAAGCACAGGTTTAGCTGAAAGACAGTGTGTACAATACTTAGTGTGACTAATGTGAGCCCCTATCATCACATGAGTGAGATTACTCCTATTTTTTGGGTGTGGTTTAATAAAATAAGACTTTACTTACCATTTGTGAGCATATTTTTATTTGAAAATTAACTGATTTACGGAGTTGCCAGTTAGTGCTATGTTGACTTAAAACACTTGTGTTAAACTTCAAGATGACATTTCATTTTGCTAAAATTTTCCCCCCACCCTTCCGACAGAGATCTATTAGATCTTTTGCCAATGATGATCGCCATGTTATGGTGAAACATTCAACAATCTATCCATCTCCGGAGGAACTTGAAGCTGTTCAAAATATGGTGTCTACTGTTGAATGTGCTCTTAAACATGTCTCAGATTGGCTGGATGAAACAAATAAAGGCACAAAAACCGAGGGGGAGACAGAAGTAAAAAAAGACGAGGCTGTGGAAAACTATTCCAAGTGAGTGTTGAGGAGCTTTTGTCAAGCTTTGCTCAAAAAAGCTTGTGGGTCTTCTGGATTGAGTTGGTAATGTACTTGCTGTTTTTTGAGTTTTATCATATGTGACATAAAAAGATAGTAAATGTCTTGTGGTGTTTTTTTTCTGAGTTACATTTGGTAGGGAAGGGTAGAAGAGTAATGAGTAGAGGACTTTTGAGTGGATTTGAAGATCATGATATATTATTTGCTGTGTTGGTTTAGCTTCCCAAGTTCTAAAGTAAATACTAATGTTTTCTACTTCAAGAAAGCCATAAAAATACTATTTTCTAGCTGAATGTGGTGGTGCACACCTTTAGTCCCAGCACTCTGGTGGTAGAGACAGACTTATCTCTGTTGGTTTGAAACCAGCCTGGTCTACGTAGTGAACTTCAGTACAGCTAGAGCTGACTCAAAACAAACTGTTTCTGTCAGACATTTTGAAATCATGGTATAGGAGATATAAGAAAATATATTAGCAGTATTAACTATATTTACCTTGTTAATTCACAGAATTCACCAGTATCTGTTACACAGTGTTGATGTTCATTTTGTGTTACTTGTAGAAGGAAGAACTAATGGAAGCCTGGCCTTCTGATAGTTAAATGAAAAATGTAATGTAGCAATAATAGCAATCCATGAGATGAAGCCACAGTGCTGCCAGCAGTCAGATCTTGAGGTTTTATGTCATGCTAGTTTGGAGATACAGTTTTGAGTGCTGTTGCTGTGATTAGTTTAAGTCCTTACCTACTCTAGGCAATGAAGTTTATTTGGTTGATTATACCGTATTTATGGGTTTAAAAACACAACTTTAGCCATGGCTTACGTAAGTGAAAAGATTTTTCTCCCAGCTTTCAGTTGTTTCCATCACTGGTTAGTAGACAAGGAGAGGGTTGGTGGATGGATGGTCTGTACTGAAAGATAGTGCAGCCTTTTCCTCTTCAAAAAGACAAGCAGTGAGTTTCATGCTGAAGAGTATGACAACTGACAGTTTGACGTAACTGTTACACTGGATTATGCCTCAGTTTGTAGGTTCTTGTAAGTAATCCAGTTTTTCCTCAAATATGGTTTAAAATGGTAATTCTTTAATTTGGTATTCATATTAATGATATTTTCCAGTGGTTGGCTTATTGAGGAACTTTCGTAATTGGCTTTCTCTGTATATATTATAGTTCTTATGCAAGTTACTAATGTATTATTTCTATTACTTTTTCAAAATTTTGAAAAATTATGATTTTATATACAACATGCCCCTTCTTACTCTTTATTATTTTTGAATATATAGTTCAAAAAACATTAGAAGATGCATTTAAAAAGTACTAGTCTGTTATTGTTTCTCTTTTTATGCTTACATTTTGCTCATTGTTTGTACATTTTGCTTATTAAATTTCCACCATTTTACATTTGCTCATGAAGAGAGTTAACTCAGAGTCATTAATGAATTTTAACTTGAAGATAACTCTGAGAGTGTGCATACATACATGCGTGTGTTGGCAAAAGTAGTTAGTCTCTGCCTTCCAGATTGATTCCTTTGCTTCCTCTTTCCCTTTATGTTAATTGTGGACTTGAACATTTTATGCAAGTGCTCTACCATTGAGCTATATCTCATCCATTTTTTCGTCATATCTTTGCTTCAGTTTACTCTAGATAAAGTACAGAGGAGGGAGAGATAAAATGTTTGTAGTAATCAGAAAAAGCTCTATGAGCCAGGTCGTGGTGGCACATGCCTTTAATCCGAGCAGTTGGGGAGGGGGGAAATCAAAGGCAGGTGGATCTCTGAGTTTGAGAATAGCCTGGTCTACAGAGCCAGTTTAGTTCCAATAAAGCCAGGGTTACACAGAGAAATCATGTCTTTAAAAAAAAAAAAAAAAAAAAAAAAAAGGCTGGCATGATGACTCAGTGGTTACACTAGCTGCTCTTCCAGAGAACCTGGGTTCAATTCCCAGAAACCACACAGTGGCTCACAACCATCTACAGTGGGATCTGATGCCTTTTCTGGAATAAAGGAATACATGCAGGCAGAGCACTCATATACATAAAATCTTAAAAAAAAAAAAAAAAAAAAAAAAGGAAAAAAATGTTTAAGGAGGTAGTAGTTGGAAATTACTCAAGAGGTTCTGGTAGAGTTTTGTTAACTGAAGGCAAAAGTAAAAATCTCAGTAAAGTTTAGATGTGGAATAAATATAGGGACTGTTTAAGAAACAGCTGTATTTACTGAGTTTTTAATGTATGTTGAGCTCTGACAAATTTCATTGCTTACATTGAAATCTATGAGAACTGCTACATGAGAAAAGGTTGTATTATGGATGAGGAAGCAGGCTCAAAGAAGTCAAGTATATGTAATTCATACCCTCTAACACAGTAGTAGAACTAGGATGCAAATCAAGAAACCAGGAAACCAGGAGGCCTTCTGGACTGCCTACTACTGTGTTGAATGTCCTAATGTTCACAGTGACATGAAAGAAAATACATGGTTGTCATCCAAAATAGTTGTTTTGGGAGGCTATGCAGTATTCTGCATTTAATAGTTTAAAGGTGCTAGAGGAAAGGCTGGTAAGGAAGGGGTTATTGAAATAATCTAGTTGAGAGTTTGAACAGCTAGTTTGCAGGCAAGATTTTTGAGAATGATTATGGAAAAGGGATTATACACATTAGGGAGCCAGAGAGGGTGAAACAATAGCATATAAAACAATCCAAGATGACTGAAAGATTCCAATAGTTGCTTGTACTCATCTTCATCTTGGCTTGCTTTGTCTTTGTAGTCTTAATGTTTATTGAATCTTCATGATGGCACAGGCAGTGAGTGCCTAGTTTATAACTTCCTGTCTAGTTTTCACTGCACTGTACTCACTTCATTGCATTTTTGACTTCACTGACTTTGGACTAACTGGTGATTCTTTGCTTCTAAACTGCCACCCTCTCCAATCCAGCCAAATCAAATGTTCACATATCTTGCTTGGCATCTCTAATTGTAACTGTTTCCTTGAGAAGCAACTACAGAAGGTAAAGTGCCCAAGTGTCAACAATCCTGAATTTAAATTCAGGAACTGACTTGTTATTTAAAAAAAAAAAAAGTTTATTTCTAATGTATGTTAGGTGGTGGTGAGGGTAGTTGGTGGTGTATGTGTGTGCGTGCACGAGTACTTGGTGTGTGTGCTTCACTGTTGGGGCCACAGGTTGATGTTGGGTTCTCTTTCTGTCTTCCCTCTTTCCCTCTGTGCCATATTCTTTTAAGTGTTTAAAACGTTCCTCACTGGCCACCAATTGCCAGAGAATGTTCCTATATCTGCTTCTCCAGTATTCCTGCACTCAGCTTTTTTGTGGGTGCTAGGGATTAGATTTCCGGTGTTCATGCTGAGCTATTACCCCCCCCATTCTTTCTTATATCATCTTTAGTTATTGCTAAAAAGTACAGAAGGTTAAAAACAACAGTTTGACAAAATGTTGGAAGATTATTGAGTAATAGAGATGTCATAGTGAATTAAAATATCTATAGTGTGACATATGATCCTTGTTCAGTCTTTAGGGAAAAATAACTTTAAATGTGAGAGCCTTAAGTCTGAGATTTAATTTGTAGATTTTTGGATATTTGAGTGTACATACTTACATAGGTATTCAGGAAGCCAAGTGATTAATTATAGATTGGGAAATATATTATAGAAATACTAATACAAACTTTTTATTTGTAGGGATCCGGGTGGCCGGACATTGTGTGGTGTAATGAGGATTGGCTTGGTTGCAAAAGGCTTGCTGATTAAAGATGATATGGACCTGGAGCTGGTTTTAATGTGCAAAGACAAACCTACAGAAACCCTGCTAAATACAGTCAAAGATAACCTTCCTAGTCAGATTCAGGTAAGTACTATTTAACTGCATTTGAGAATTTATAGAGTTTGAGAAACTGTGATCTTGATGACTATTAACAACAATTGGCTAAGTTAGAAATAGGTATACAAAAAGAGTCTAGCATTATTTGGTCAATGAGAAACCCACATTTAAAGCACATTTCTGGTGACTTATACTCAGGGTATATTTACCAAAATACGGACATTAGTATACACTTTTAAACCTTTCAGACATGTCTTGCTAAGATTCTACATATCTCCTTGGTAGAGTTGGTGAGATGCAATAAAAAAGGTCCAACTGGGTTTTGATAGAGCACACCTTTAATCTCAGCACTTGGGACGAAGATCTCTGAGAGTTTAAGGACAGCATGGTCTGTTTGTAAAGAGAAACCCTGTCTTGAAAATCAAAAAGAAAAAGAAAGAAAAAAAAATTCCAAGCAATGATAAATAATTTATTTATTATGTATACAGTATTCTGCATGCATGTATGTGCAGGCCAGAAGAGGGCACCAGATCTCATTATAGATGGTTGTGGGCCACTATGTGGTTGTGGGAATTGAACTCAGGACCTCTGGAAGAGCAGCCAGTGCTCTTAATCTTTGAGTCATCTCTAGCTTTCTAGGCTAGTGAGGACTAAAGGACATAAATATTCTGAGGTTTTTGAAGGGTTAGGTTAGAAAAGGTGAAATAGGCTTGAACATTTAGGGCCAATGGTGGATACTATGAGACATGAATTTCAATTTAACATAGTATTATAGCTTTCCAACAATGCATTTTCTGTGTCTGGGTAAAGATACATTTCATTGGAAAGTGTTAATCTTAATTGTCAACTGATGTTAAGATTAAGTTATACACATGTGCACAACTACTTTGCTAGTTTATTTTGTGTCTGTGAAATAATTATGATAGGAACTTACTTTCTTATAGACTAAATACCTTCTCTGAATGCATACTTTAGGAACAGTTTGGTTATTTGCTACCTTAATATAATTATTGATGTGGAAACACTCCTTTTTCTCTCTGTACTCTCTTCCAGGGTTAGAGTTTCTTTGAACAAAGGAGGCTGAGGATGACAAACCCAGTAACCTTTGATGCAGTCTAGTCCAAACTCATACTATATTTATAATTTTGGATGTGTCTTATAATTGACAATTTTAGATTGACTTACAAAAGATACCTTAATTAAAAAATAATTTATTTTATGTGCGTTTGGGTTGTGCCTACATTTATATCTGTGAGAGTGTCAGGAGTGTCAGGTCCTTGGGGATTGGAGTTACAGGCAGGTGTGAGCTGCCATGTAGGTACTGATAATTGAACCAAGGAAGGACAGCCAGTGCTCTTAATAACTGAGCTCTCTCCAGGTCGAATAGATTTCTCTGTCTCTCTGTCTCTGTTTCTGTGTGTGCGCACGTGCATGTGTGTATATGGAGATCAGAGGAAAATTGGTTGTGTTCCTCTTTCTCAAGCACTGTTGACTAGAATCTCTTGGTGTTACCCGGGACTCCTTAAATTAGGATAGATAGGATGACTGACCATTGAGCCTCAGGGATCCATCTGTACCCATCTTCTCAGTCAGGGGCTCTAGGCAGGTGCCACTGTGCTCATTATTTTAAAAAATATATTTTTATTTTGTGTTGTGTGCACCATGTGTTTAGTGCCTGAGGAACTAGAAGAGGGCATCAGGCCCTCTGGAACTGGAGTTACAGATGGTTGTGAGCATCTGTATGGGTACTGGGAGCTGAACCCTGGTCTTCTGTAAGAGCAGCAAGTGCTGTTAATCACTGAGCCATCTCTCTAGCTCTGTTTATTGTTTTATGTGAGTCCAGTGATCAGATTTGAGTCTTTGTGCTTACATGGTAAGCACTCTATAGCCAACTCATCTTTCCAGTCCTCTAATGATCCCCCCCCCATTGGTAGAATGAATATGAAATTTTTTTTTTTTTGGTAGTTATTTATTTCATTTTCTGGTTCTTCCATTCATGGTGAGGTCTTTTCTTTCTTTGGCTTTTTCTGTTCAACATCAGAGTAATGAGTTTTCTATTTCTGATTTTTTTGGAAAGTATTTAATATTAAAATGACATTTTTTATAAATGTTCTTTTAGAATACACTTTTTATTCCTTCAGTCCATTTTATGTCAGCTAATACATATTAAGCTTCATCATTAAGAAATGCCTTGTATGATTTATTTAGTTACAATTTAATATTACAGTTTGGGTTGTTTTCTGAAAGCCCCAGGGTTATATGTTTATCTCTGTGTATGTTAAAAGAAGCAATGTGCTGGGTGATGGTGGCAGCACATACTTTTAATTGCAGCACTCAGGAGGCAGAGGCAGGTCTATAGAGCAAGTTCCAGGACTGCTAGGGCTGTTATACAGAGAAACCATGTCTAGAAAAAACCACCCACCCACACACACAAAAAAAAGCAATGTAAATTTCCCTGTGGATGTCATTTGGATTATCTCGTAAGTCTCAGTGGAATGACTTCTGAGATTTATTATAATTATACAAGGCAACTGTTTATATGCATTCTTTTCATGTGACTACAAGTAGACATCTTTGTCATTCATACTTTCTTGATTTACTTTAGAAATTTGTATAATCATCATTCGTAAGTCCTTGGCAAGTAGTTGTTTAGATATTCTGTCAATAGTGCTATAATTTTGAAGAACATTTCCAGCTATCTCTGTTGTATAATAATTTATAGTAATAATTTCAAGAGTAATTATTTATATTCTACTGTAATGCTGCTGTTGATACTTTACATGGAATAAAAATGGTTTGAAATATTATTTCATAGTTATCTGCATGGTTGACATTATGACCCTTTTAAGTTGAGAGAAGTTATCCCTGAAGTAAGGAACTAGTTACAGTTTTGGATTCCATTTACTCTTTGGTATAGTGATACTAATAGTTACAAAAACCTAGCGTAAGTGTCCCTTCTTAGAGATTTTAATATGATTGAATGTTTTTGAAATCTTGATGACTTTCAGAAACTGACAGAAGAGAAATACCAAGTGGAACAATGTATAAGTGAAGCTTCTATTATAATTCGGAACACAAAAGAGCCCACACTGACTTTGAAGGTGATACTTACTTCCCCTCTAATTAGGGACGAATTGGAGAAGAAGGATGGAGGTACATGTGTGTATATATATATATACACATACATACATATCTATGTTTTGTTTATATAACAGTTCTTTTCTGTACTGTGCTATCTATGCCTTGGGATTTAGGAGGTTACATACTTCATTTGATTGTGTTTGCCACTCCATGGTATTGTTAAAGTTTTGTTTTTATGTGGTATATTTTGTAATGGGCCTTAACTCTGCTTTAATTTTCTTTCCATTTCAGTGATCTGAATTCCTTTGTTTAGTGTGACTTCAAGTCATTGGTGTCCACTCTGTTCACATTCAGGATTAAATGTTGTCTAAAATAGAATTATTTACAGATTGCTTTGCATGTTGTGTTTGATTTCTAACAATTATATCCCCTTATAAATTTTAGTTATTTGTGTCTAGATTTGGTTTATAGAATAAAGAAAAAGAATTAGTAAATGGATATATTTTACTCAATAATCTTTAATCTTCAGTGTGTGAGCATACACACACACACACACACACACACATACACTTTTTTATTTTGGAGACAGGGTCTCACTGCATAACTGTGGTAATCCTGAAATTCACTATGTATAATTGGATGGCTTCAAATTCACAGAGATCTGCCTGCCTCTACCTCTTCAGTGCTAGGATTAAAGACTTGGGCCAACCCATCTTCTTTCATTAAATTTTGTGAAGCTTTTGACCCTACTACAATTTGAATAAGATGTATGTTAAAAAGAATTACTGTATGACACTGTCATAAATGTAGAATGAGAATTTTTTAACTGTTAGTTTTGGAAAGGAATGAAGGATGTGTGGTAAACTTCATTTTATCTTTTTATCTTGTCAAGTTAGTTATTTTGTACTCTTAGTACTATTCAAAGACACATGCCATGTGATATTTTTCCTGTGTTGGACCTTTGACCAGCTGGTTACTCTGACACAACAATTTAGAGGCAATATGGTATATATGGGCCAGTAGGATGCTTGGTATTTTCCATCTGCCAGATTGCAACAAATCTCATTGCATACCCCTTTATCATAAATACCACTAAAGTGAAAAGGAGTATATGTCAGTTTTGTAGTTTATTTCAAGTGTTGATAAGTATAGAAAAAGGCACATTTAACTGTGAGGTAGATTTTCGAGTTTTAGTTTCTAGACATGATCACAGAGTCCTGGAACAAAACTTTTAAAAAAATGCCTTTTTTGGGGGTGGGGTGGGGTGGTTGATCCAAATGTCAGAAATAGAATAACCATCAGAAACCAAATACATTTTTGAGTCATTTAAATAAAAGTACATGCAGTCTATAATTGGATTTAATGCCTCTATTTTACCCTTATGTAGCATGTCTATAGCACCTAAGAAGAACAGGTCTTTTAAATGGCTTAATTTTTTTTTTTTTTTTAACAACAGATCTATGATTTCTGGTTTCTGATGTGTTAAGATGTGTTAATTTTGGTAAGCTGTGTTCTTGACCCCGTTGTACAAAGCCAGCCATTTCTATGTAGTCCTGAAATTATAGATTTATAGATGCTATTAAACATTACTTTTTTCAGATTTTTTTTTTTTTTTTTTGGAGGGGGGTTGTTGTATAGGGTTTCTTTGTGTAGCTTTGGTTTTGAAACTTGCCCTGTAGACCAGGTTGACCTCAGACTTACAGAGATCTGCTTGCTTCTGCCCACCAAATGTTGGGATTAAAGTTGTGTGCCCTTACCACCTGGCTCTAAGCATTACTTTTTTATTGAAAGATGTTTATTTGCTCTGCTCCTTGTGTTCCCTCTTTGAAGGAATCAGGAAAACATAGCCTTTTCTCTTGTGATTTTGTGTTCTCACATGGGATTTTTGTCATAGCTATCCATGTTGATTCCCTCAGGCTTAACCTGTTGTCTTAAAAACCTTAATTTTTGTTTATAAAAGCTGAAAACAGGCTCTTAGTGTATTATACCATTCTGGAGCACTATTAATCATAGAATGGTTTTTGTAGCAGACAGAATTGCAGTCTTTGTTTAAGGTGTTTTGAGTTTCTCAGGATTGAAAGGTCACCATATTATGACTCATCAGCTGATATGTGAGCTCAGATAAGGTTAAGGAGTCAGCATGGAGCTAATGTTTAACAGATGTTATTTCTCTTTTTGAATGGCAGGAAGATTTGTTTTGCTGTTCTTAACATCCCATCCCTGTTGACCAACTTTGATATTTTACAGCTTATTCATTTTGTCTAATTTGGGCTTTGTCATAGACACCATTTTTTTTTTTTTTTTTTCTGTATTCCTGGGCAACTTGGAGCATCCAACATAATTGAGCATCTGAAGTTCTTTTTGTTTACCTAGACACTACTCTTTCCCCTGTTGTAAATCTTTCTATCTACATAGGATGGAGACACAAAGCACATTTAGCTTTCAGGGATATCTTACCCTGAAAGATAGCATCCTCTTCCTTTCTAATTTTCTTTCTCAAAGTTAAACAATGCCTTCTATCATCTGTCCTCCACCCTGAGACATTTTATCATAGTATTCTGACTTGCTTTACCTTTCCCAAATACACAGTTTGCAGAGATACACAAGTCATCTCTTTTTCTTCCCTCTCTTAACTTGCTAAATGACTTTGGTAAAGTCTAAATGAGAAGAAAGGAAGGTTGAGAACACAGAGCTAGAGGCCTGGAGCTAAGATAGGGCATTAGATTTATCTATAATATTTTCTGTGTAGAAGTGGATAACAATTCACTTCCAACCAAAATGATGTCACAAGTAAGACTTCTATGCTATCAGTGTTAGCATACTCTAATACTTTACTTAAAATCCTGTGGAATGACCATTTCCCTAGTACTATGTATTTCCTTTAAAAAAAAAAAAAAAAAAAAAAAAAGCACAGATCTTGCTGTATAACAGCTGTGTGTTCAGTTCTTAACTCTGTTAGTGTTGTGTGTCATTGGGCACACTTCTTAATTTCAAAGTACAGATAAAAAAAGACAGTAGTTATTTGCAGGATTCAGTGAGAGACTACATACACAATGGGGTATACAATTAAATAACTTCATAGTAGTGAAGTCCAGAAACCACTCAGCTTACTAAACATTCCTACCTACTCAATTTTTCTCAGAAGAACTAGTTTCAGACAGCTGAACCTTAACATAGCATAACTATTGATTGATTGATTGATTGATTGATTTTTAAGACAAGGACTTTCTATGTAGCTCTGTTAGTCCTAGAGCTAAGTGCACCAGCTTGTTACACCAGAGTGACCTTGATCTCAGAGTGATCATCCTGCCTGAGCCTCCTGTATGCCACACCTACCACACTCATCCACATAGCTAACCTTTAAACCACACTTGAATCCAGTATTATAGTCAGTATGGAATATACTCTGGTGCTAATAATAAGCTGGCTTATTCTGTAGCTGTTTTTTGGAAGGCAGGTTTCTTTCCCCACACCATGACTATCCTTTATCCTTAGCACCTGGAATCATACCTGATACAGAGGTAGGTTATCAGAGAGTACTACACATGAATCTTCACAGGGAATTTTCAGTCAGCATATTGTCTGAAAATACAGTCCAGTATATATAAAAAGAAATGTTAACATTGGGTAGCATCTTATGTGACTTGCCTAACATTTATTGGAGATTTATTTCTGTTACAGTGTTACGCCCACCATGTTTCAATTCTCATGTATGATTTATTTAAAGAAGTAACTCTCACAGTGACCTTAGAAGGGAATGTAGCTATTGCTCTATTTTAAATAGGAATGTGTCATGTTCTGCCAAATTAACCTGACAGAGTCCAATGTAGAATCCCCTCTCCTTCCTGCCTGGGCTTGCTGCATGGATACTTGCTGATTGTTTTTTTCTGACCATTACAGACCCTCAACTTTGGTTCTTGTGGTTTTGAACTAAAAATATATATGCTATTTTGCGGTGATAAATATTGCGTGGGAATCAAGATTCACTAGACTCAGTACAGGTTAGGTGAAGTTTATTCGGGAAGAATCCACTTACACAAGAAGCAGGTGACCGCCGCTAGCTCCAGCTCCAAGGATTCACCCAGGCTGCCCTCTGTGACCTGGCTGGAAGCAAGAGAGCCAGCTATGAGCAGACCCAAGACCTAAAACCATTCTCTTGCGTGGTCAGTGCCACAGGTGTGGTGGGTGGATATCTCATTGCAGATACATTGTTTTTTTTTTTAAATTATGTTTACATTCTAATTTTAAACCAAGTAGATAATGAAAATATAGTCTTTTCTGTCATTAGTACTGAGGTAGAGTCAGAGCTTGATAGAGAAGTTGCCTTAGAGTTCCTTTTCATCTGTTGATGCCAGAGTGGATTTCTGACTATTTCTGGCAGAGGTTCACTGGTATGTTTCCTGCTAGGGTTAGGATAGTAGATTGTTGCAGTTCATAATTGTGCTGCAGGCTAGATATGCACTGTGCAGAGCAAACCTATGATCATTTTCTTTCTGGTGCTCTACTATCACAAAGATAGTGTTTGTGGTACAGTTAGATGAATAAGAGGATGGTGCATCTTGGTTTGCCCTTATTGCTATATATATATATTTTTACATATTACTATGTCCTTACGTTTTTTTCATGAACATTAGTTCAGGAATAATGTCTTTCCAGAAAGCTTCATGGAATTGAGAGAAAGGAGGTTTCAAAATATCCTTAGATACACTAAAAATTCTGTCAGAATAAGCTGAGAGCTCAGCTTTGTCCAGATTGTCATGGAGCCTGCCATGATATTCCAGCTCAATTATTTTACTTTTGAAGAGCCAGGGCCTTGACACCTAACATATCCACAACCATTCCTGGCTTTCCACTTATTCTACTCCTAGTGTTTTGTGAACAGGGGCAGATAGCTTTCATGTAAGGCACTGAGAAAAACTGACTGTGTGCTACAGAATGGTGTTTGCTAGTCATTGATCTAACCTCCAACCATGCAAGCAGGTTTAGGCAGAATAGCCTTCTTTCCAGTGCTTCCATTGTTTCAGTGCACATGTATACATGCTGCATGTACTTTCATACTCTGATGGCAGGTTACAAAAACATTTTAAAAAGTTGTCTTTCTTTGCAGCTGACATTTTTGTCAATATTTGTCCATTTTTGTGCTATTTCTTATGTTTCTTACAAAGTGAGTAAAATGTATCATAGTTCTGAACTCTTGTTTATTTATTTAGCTTTAGTTTTTTTGAGACGGGATTTTATGTACCCCTGACAGGGAATTCCAGGCTGGTCTAGAACTGTCCACCTGTCTCTTGAAAATGCTGGGATTAAAAGTGTTTAGATGACAAGTCTAGCAGTTCTGCTGTTTTTAATTAATTAATGGCAATATTTTTTTTAAAAAGTAAAGTCTTTACCTAATAAAGTTAAAACACACACACACACACACACACACACACACACACACACACACACACCCACACACACCCACCCCTACCTGTGTTAAAGTTCTGAAATATGAATCTTGAGGTTCTATCAGGAAGGATATTGTTTTCCCAGCAGTAGTTCTGTGATTGCCATATTAATTTTTTTAAATTGGTGAAAATATGTAAAACTATATAATTAGCTATAGAAAGGAAATACACAAGCTGGGCTGGTAAGTAGCACTGTAATGCCATATGCTTATGTGTCACATAATACAAAAATCTTTGAAGATAAAATGTATTGTTACTATCCTGCTGTTTTCAGTCTCATGAGTTTATTAAAACATTTTGGATCTGTTGACTGTCAGAGCATGAAGAAACATGGCCATTTTGATGTCAATATTAATCTGCTGCAATTCTTTGTTATGAGCAGTTTCCTGATAGTCTGGTCCCAGAGCCATGTCAGTTCCAAAATAACACACAGAGACACAAATGAAATTGTTGGCCAGTTACTAGTGTTTCTTATTGGCTAGCACTGTCTTAAATATTAACTTATTTCTAACAATCTGAGTGTTTCCATGTGATCTTATCTTACCGGAGAGAGGGTCCGGACCTCTTAATGTCTGTCACGTCCTACATCTTGACACCTCTTTACATCTCCCAGCATCCTCCTTGTCTCCTAGTCCTGCCTATCTTGTCTTCCTATTGGCCAACAGGGCTTTAGTCATTAATAAGAGAAACATATTTACAGAATGACATCTCCCATCATCTTGTCTTTTCTGTCTAAAATTAAAAAAAGGGCTTTAACTTTATTTAACATAGTAAAATATATAACAAAAATTATCAAATATGAACTATAGTTAACAATATTTAGTTCATTAACATTTAGCAAGATTTAAAGAAAATATTCCATCATCTATCCTATCTTTGTGTGTCTAAAGTCTTATATGTAACTTATCTTTAATCCTAACTATGGAAAACTATAACCATAACTATCTGTCTTCAACTCCATCAAAGACCACAAAAGGATAATATATAAACTCTAGAAATGACAGAGGTAACTCGCCTGGTCAGTCACCCGAAGTTCTTCTGTAATATTCTATCTTCAGCCTATAGGCCATAGTGTGTCTGGTAAACTCCTCAGCAAAGCAGAAAACTGTCCTACCTGTATTGGCAGTTTCTTAGTCACTTTTCTGTGTCCTATAGAATGTCTGGAAGACTCTTCCATGAAACGGGAACCTTGTAGCATTTTCCATCTTGTTTCAGCAGTTACTTTTCTGTGGGTCCTGCATGTCTACTTTATAAAGCATATAGTTAAACAGTGTAGACAAGAGGAATATCTTGCCCAAATGGCTAGTCTTGCCATATTGGAAGCAAACTCCGTAATGAGTTTCTTTGATGTCCATCTTCCTTTGTGATACAGGTGGTATTGCCAGGAGCAGTCATGTCTCGCTGTCAAGAAAAACCTTAAACTATTTTAAATGCCATATTCTATAGTTTTTGAAAGGTTTGAAGAATATTTATCCATCTCAAATATATATCTCTATATCTAGAAATCCTAACTAACGTAAGTTTTGACTATTATAGGTAACTATCTATAATCTATAATAAATTATACATTATACTTTTAAATGAGCTATATAAACACAATACCTAAATAAGAGGAGAAATATATATATATCACAGAATTGACCTTAAATTGTATCAATAAATGAATATCCATTCCAAAACAAAGTGTTCATTTCTATACCATAATTCCCCTTTTACATTTAAAAAGAGATTGGTTGTGATCATTAACCATTTATAACCAACCCCATTTAAATGAAAGCAAACATTTATAGACAATATTTGGGAATGTGGGTGTTGTTCTTTCCAAACTGCTTCCTGCTGGTTGGGGACACTGTATTACCATGGGAATCCTAAGGAGACACAGAAATCCTGGCTGTAGTCTTCAAGGCTGCTTTGTCCCAGCTGCTTTGAATGTTGGATCACCTGGGACACTGTTTCAGGGGGTCTTGCTTGATCAAACCATGTTAGTCTGGAAGGAATCCACAGTTTGTCATTTTCTGTGGAAACAAAAATAGAAATTCTTTTCCCCAGTAACCTGTCCATAGAGTTAAATTTTGAAGTCAAAGCATTTTAAAAATATGTAAGTTGGATTAATTCAGCAGCATTGATAATCAAGTATGTTTTAGCAGTTGTTGTTCATTCCTTAGCAGTTGATCAATTCAAAGACAACACAATAGCATATACTATCCAGACTCTCTGTATTTTCTGTCTTCTTGTGGCTTTTTTATTACCTTATTTCTTTTACTTCTACTTTTCATTTTTTTTTTTTTGAGTCAGGCTTTCTCTGTGTAACTATTGCAGGTGGATCTCTTGAGTTAGAGGCCATCCTGGTTTACAGAGTGAGTTCCAGGATGGCAAAGGTTACATAGAGAAACCTGTTTCAAAAACAAAACAAACAAACAAAAAACAAAACAAAACAAAAACAAAATGAAGAAAAGAAGGAAAAAATATTTTAATAACTCAGTTAGGCATGTTAATTTTGTATTGACTACATTTAAACAATTTGATGACAAAATATTAAAATGACCCAGTTGTATATTTTGTGCCTGTCAACACAAGTCCAGGAGCTAGATCACCTGTGAATACCATATTTTTGGGGGGTTTATAAACAAGACCACATTGGTAATTCTTTTAGAAGCTTCTGATAGTATTGAAATGAAACCTAGTGTTGTGATTTTTCTTAGTAGGGTTAAAGGGAAACAATTCAGACATCTACCAGGAAGTTCACTTGGCAGGAAATAAGTGTGTAGCACATCATTGGTTAGTGTTGTAGCAGTACAGGAAACCACACAGTTCTTCCTTTTATAGTTGTGGTTTTGATTGGACATTAATTATGCCTTCAGGTTTAATAACATTTTAACTAGTAGAATTAAACACTAGGCTTGTCACTAAAGGGTCACTGATAACTAAGGAAGCCAAAAAGTGTCCCATGTTCTTGTGCGCCATCTAAAAATATTTACATCTCTTGAATCATGCAGTGAATTTCATATCTACCTTTTTAGAATATTGAGCAGTGTTGGTGGGACTCATATTTAAAATCATTCTTAAGAGAGAATGATGCCTGACTCAGGGTTAGACAAGCCTTCTTTAGGAAATCCATTGTAGAACTATACTTTTAAATAGTTCATCAAGACTTCAAAAATTAACAAACCTGCTTTTCCATACTTAAAGGAAATGAATTTGGTGATAGAAACTTGGATTTAGTATCATGTAACATCTCATATGTGGGTTAATTGTGAACCATATTTCAGTTTTGCTGCCTTTGATCATCTCAGACAATTGTGAAATAGTAAGGCAAATCCAATGACCTTAGTTATGTAGCAGTCTATGAATTGCCTTAAAGAAAAAGAGATTGATAAATATGAAATCATTTTCTAGTTACTTTTTATTTGTAATTTTAAAGTTTTGGTGCCAAAAAGAAATACTGAATGAACTTGAAGGTGATTGTTGAGATTCTCATCAGTGGAGTCCACTTTCTAATGGTAGTGATTGTGGTGACTGGGATTGTTTAGAAGCAAATAGTTTCTTTTTTGGTCACATTCATTATACTTTCAGCCTACCCAACTTTACTATTATGTAAGAGGTCCAACTTTTTTAAGATCCTGATCAGTCATCAAAATTGCTTCTGTTAAAATTTTTTTTAAATGCCAGCACTCAGGAGGCAAAGGCAAGTAGATCTGTGAGTTGGAGGCCAGCCTGGTCTACAGAGCCAGGACAGGCTCCAAAGTTACACAGAGAAACCATGTGTCAAAAAACAAAACAAAACAAAAAAAGTTTTTATTGTTATTGTTCCCAGATGTCTTCTTTGTAGTTTGACAAATGAAAAAGTGCTATGTATTTATTTTATAGTTTTCTGTGATGGTGTACATGTTCATTAATAAGATCCCTGATTATAAAAAGCAGTAGTCACTGATTCCTTTGCTGAATGAATTCCTTTACTTTCCCTTGTACGTTTGCACAGAATCTGATGACTCTTTGTTTAAATAATGTGGACTTAATTTAAAAAAGCAACAAAACCAAATTATGAGAATATCAGAAGTCTTATAAGTTCACTCAAATGCTGCTTTTGGTTGTTATTGATAATTTGTTAAGAACCCCCTTGCAAACTATATCTGTTTTCCTTTATCCCATTTTACTACTAGAAAATGTTATGGTGAAAGACCCTCCAGACTTACTGGACAGGCAGAAATGTCTGAATGCCTTGGCTTCTCTTCGACATGCCAAATGGTTTCAGGTTGGCACTTTGTTTTTTCCTTACTGTTCTGTGTTGATTTTATTTGGAACATCTGCCACTTAGTGTTTTCTGTATGCTGTATGAAATGGAGATACTTTGTAGCTTCTAGAGTTATTATTGTAGTAAATCAGTTCTTTGGATAAAGTGCCTATAATAGTTTCCATTGTGGTGTGTGAGAGAGCCAGAGGGATTGGGGGGTGGTTGGGGGTGCACCAGAGCCATCCACCTTCCTTACTGAGGTAGGGTCTGTTGCTGGTATCTAGAACTCACCAGGTAGGCCAACAAGCCCCAGGGATCTTCCTATTGCTGTTTCCCCAACACTGAGGTTCTAAGTGTGTGCCAACCACACCAGACTTTTAAAATAGGTTCTGTGGGTTGAATTTAAGCTTCCATGCTTGCATGGGAAGCACTTCCCCCAGTGTGCTATATCTCCATGATGTTTTGTTAACATGTAATTCTTTTTGGCTTACTATTCTGAATAGTAGATGATGGATTGTAAAATATAAACAAGAAAAGCTGAAAGTTAAAATAGTGCCTGGAATAGGGTTGTCATGAGTTTACAAAAATGTTTATATTATATTCATTTTACTTGAAAACCTGACTTTCTGAACTATAACTTGCTGTTTTTCATAACTTGATTTTTTTGGTTTGCTTGAAAACCAGTAAATTATTTGCTAATCGGTATTCATTAAAAAAAAATTATCCATGATCAGTGTATTTCAAATGAGGAATGGGTTTCTACAGGGATATTGGAATCATTTTGTTTGTTTTAGGCAAGGGCAAATGGATTAAAATCATGTGTTATTGTCCTCCGCATTCTACGTGATTTGTGCAACAGAGTACCCACATGGGCACCATTGAAAGGATGGGTAAGTATTTAAATGTGATTTAAAAACAAATCTGAAGCTATAGTAGAGGAAATTCTAGAAATGATGTTTCTATAGAATGACTATCTTCTGTTCTGAGTTAGTTAAGACATATATTGTCTTATTTTGCCCTAGAATTATACAGTTTTATGCATATAAACTTGTTTCTTTTGTTTTGTCATTTGTGTTCTAGATGTGATATATGTATATAAAATTTTTTAATTACCCCCTCTCTATATATATTTTCTCATCTAAAGGTTGTACACCTTTTACAAGTAATTCTATTCTGTTGGAACTCTGAACTGATCATTGGAACTCTGAACTGATCATTGATCACTCATGATTACTGCCCATGGTAGCCTTCTTGGCTGGTCCATTGCCCTCAATGTGTTGTTATATTTCTGTGGAGATTATCTGATAGACTGGTGTCTTTTCTAATTCTCATGAAATGTAGACACACATATAACATATTAGGTTCAATGCAGTGTTATAAATTATTTTATATATATGTGTGTGTCTCTATAAAATAAAGTATATCTGCAATTAGGTAAGTTCAGTGTTTACCTGATATTATTTACTACTTAGAGTTATAACATATATTGTAACATTGACTTAATTTGGAAATTATTATGCCTGATCCAGTCAAGAGTATAATGTAAAAATTTATGTAAATAATTTAAAGTTGTAAAGGCTTTAAAAAAATGAGCAATTATAAACATGTATGCAACATCACAAGTTTCAGTTTATCTAATTCAGAGATGTGGTTCTTTAATTGTTGCTCTTGTAGCAGACTATTTGAATTAACTCAGCTTTTATAGTTGAGTGCTTCTTAATGTAAGTGGGATTTAGATAGTTGTTACCTTGTTTATTTATTAGCTATTACTCATGTGAAAGCTTGTTAATCTTAAATGAATTATATGGCTATAATTTCACTTTTTTGAAACTAAAATTCAAGTTTTTGTCTCATTTTCAGAATATAGCTAAAAATAATTGGTTTTTAAGAAATGGTTGGACTAGAGTAATCATGGATGAAGAGTTGAATGAACCTTAAATATTAAATTGTCTGTATTTTTTTTTTTTTTTTTTTTTTTTTGGCTTCCCTTTTAGATAGAAATGTCAGCTCACATTTAACTGGAATCCTTTTAACACTTGGTGCATGTACTAATTTGTAATTTAATATCTTCTAGCCACTAGAGCTTATATGTGAAAAGTCTATAGGTACTTGTAATAGACCTTTGGGCGCTGGGGAGGCCTTGAGACGAGTAATGGAGTGTTTGGCATCTGGAATACTACTTCCTGGTAAGGGTTTCAAACTCTCAAGGCAGAAGAATAAGAAAAAAAAAATCTCATTTTACTTAATTTATCTAAACATATGCTAAATGTTTGTCTTCTGCAGAGGAAAATTAAATGTAGGAGTTGTGTTCTTTGGAATTTTAGCAGCTAGACTGTTTGTGTGGAAGAGTGCTGTAAAGCTTTTCCATAGTTCTAATTTGTGTTTTATATGTACTAACATAAAGGGTACTAATAGATATTGTGTCTGCTATGCATTTGCTTCATCTAGAAGTTTGAATTTGGAAATGTAAACACTTATTTGAAAAGTATGAAGTTCATTTTCATTGCAGTCTAATATTAAAATTGGAAAAATTAAATATGTAATCCATTTAAATCACTAGGGATAATTCATAATGCTGTGGTAAATAAGGACAGTTAGGTGTTTAAACTGCAAGTGGCAGATTGTTCTTAATACTGTACATATATGAGCAGATTTTTACCTTAGTTTTCAGTTTTTCCCCTTCTTTCTTTTGTCGTTTATATGCTCAAAACTCATTGCTAAATTTTTATTTTCCCTTGTTTTTCCCAAAGGGGGTCCTGGCCTTCATGATCCTTGTGAACGAGACCCAACAGATGCTCTGAGCTACATGACCACTCAGCAAAAAGAAGAAATCACTCATAGTGCACAGGTATGACACTGGTGTAACACAGAGTTCTTAGACAGATACCATAACTTCTACTTCTGAATTGTTGTATGTGCCTACTTTTCTTGTATGTTTAAGTTAGGGAATTCTACCAGTGTAACATCAGTATGTAAAGAATGTCATTTAAGTGTCATATAAGCTAGAATGGTTATTGAGAGTTGATTAAATATAATGTTTTATTCTTTAGCATGCACTTAGACTATCAGCCTTTGGCCAGATTTATAAAGTGCTGGAGATGGACCCGCTTCCATCTAGTAAGCCTTTTCAGAAGTATTCCTGGTCGGTTACTGATAAAGAAGGTGAGTATGAAAGCTGTTTTTTTGTTTGTTTATTTTTGTTTTTAACTAGAGTTGAGGGTTAACATTGAAAGTGGTGCTTGTACATCTTGTTTAGGTAGCTTAAACATTGATCATCTAAGTCACTGCTTTTCTTCTTAACTTAAATGGCTTCTTTCAAAAACATCAATGATATTAGCCTGCTGTCCCAATTGTTCTTATTAATGACCAGCTTATTTTCCCATGTTGCTAGATTTTGTTAGTGCATAGACTTAAGAACCATACTTTAAGCTTCTGGTCTACAAGGAGATAAACCATAAGTGAAGAAGAGACATTGTCCCTATCACTGGTCAGTGTGATAAACTTTCTGAATGTTGCAAGTGTTTTGTAGCTAGAAAGAGAAACAAAAATATTTTGGATGGGAAAAATGTATTAGAAAATTCATGATCACCTTCTGTTTGTACTTGTCTGTCTGTATTTGTTGTTGTATGTTTCCTGGGTAGATGAAACACATTCATCTTCCCACCCCAGAGAGGGAACTCTTGAGAGATCAAAGTAGAGATACTACCAAAGTCCCAACTTGGTGAATCAATGAGTTTTATTGGGGTTTTTTATAAAATCAAAAATGACTCAGTAGCAGCTGCATCATCCCAGCGTGATTGACAGCTCACAAAAAGCAGGGAAACCTGGAGCAGGCAGTTCAACAGGTTGGAGAGTATCTTTCTAGGTGCCTCAGTGGGTCTAAACCTTTTCCAGACTGCTCTTCTTGTCCCAGAGTCTTCTTTGTAGCTGAGCTTTACTTGCTCTGGCAGAGAGGGGCAATCTGGTCAGTTTCAGGGAGTTTTTCCATTCCCTAGCATCATCTGTGATTTCTTTTTTCAGTGTCTTAAAGTTTTTATTATGTCTTTTACTTTCATAGTTAAGACTTATTCTGAGATCTCGTGTGTGTGTGTGTGTGTGTCTGTCTGTCTGTCTGTCTGTCTGTCTGTTTGTGTGTGTGTGTGTGTGTGTGTGTGTGTCTGTCTGCAGGTCTTCGTGCAGACACTGGAATGTGCACACATGCTCTAAGAATGCTGTTTACTTCTCTCTTGGCATGTTTGTTGTTTCCATATAGGAAGGCTGCTGAGTTTTGTGTGTTCATTTTGTATCCTGTTAGTTTGCAGAATGTATTTATGAACTGTAGAAATTTCTTGGTGGTGTCTTTAGGGTCTTTTATGTTTAAAATCATACTGTTTGCAGATACCATTACTTTGACATCTTCCTTTCCTATTTGTATCTTCTTGATCTTCAGTTTAACTATTCTAGCTAAGATTATAAGCAATATATTGAATGGCAATGGAGATACTTGTCTTGTTCCTGAATTTGGTTTTAGTTTACAATGATGTAGGCTATGGTTTTGTTGCAAACTGCCTTTATTACATTGAGGACTTCAGGACTTTTATCTTAAAGAGAAGTTAGATTGTGGTAAAGGCCTTTTCTGCCTCCAATAAGATGATCATGTGGTTTCTATCCTCAGTCTGTTTATGTGATGGATTATGATTTACATATGTTGAACCATACCTACATCTTTGGAATGAAACTGACTCAGTCATGGTTGATATATTTTTAAAGATATACTTACCATGTATGTATGTATATAGTGTTCTGCCAGCATGTATGCCTGAGTGCCAGTAGAGGGCACCAGATTTCATTATACATGGTGGGCCACTATATGGTTGCTGGGAATTGAACTGAGGACCTCTGAAACAGCAGCCAGAATACTTAACCTCTGAGCCATTTCTCCATCCCTAATGATCTTTTTAATACATGCCTGCATTCAGCTTGCAAATATTATAGAGGACTTCTACATCCATGTTCATCAGAGGTCTTAGCTTATCATTTTTTTTGTTGGTTCTTTGTGTGATTTTGAAAATAATGACTTTATAAGAAGGCTGTAAATGTTCTTTCGGTGTCTATTTTATGAAACAATTTCAGAGGCATTATGATCCTCTGTATTTTCTCAAAGTGTTGTAATGTCTCCTTTTCCTTTCTAATTACAATTAAAAATCATTTTATTTGTATGAGTGTTTTGCCTGTATGTAGATCTGAGTGCCGTATGTGTATCTGGTGTATGGAGGCCAGAGGAGGGCATTAGATTCTTTGGAATTGGAATTATGGATGATTGTGAGCCACCATGTGGGTGCTGGGAAATGAATCCAGGTCCTTTGCAACAGCTAATACCCTTAAATCTCTGAGCTGTCTTTCCAGCACTGTTCTCTAAATTTGGATCTAATTTGGATTAGATCCTTCCTTGTGGTTAATTAAGGCTAAAGGTTTGTCAATTTTGTTTTTTAGTTTTCTCCCCAAAGAATCGTCTCTTTACATCATTGATTCTGTTGATTATTTTTCTTTCCTATTTCTTTAATTTTAGTCCTGTGTTGATTATTTCATCCTATCTACTTTCTTTGGGTGTTTGTTCTTGTTTTTGTTTTTCTTCAGCTTTCAAGTATATCATTAAATTATTAATATGAGATCTCTACAGTTTCTTAGTAGCACTGTGGTATGGACTTTCCTATTAGGACTGTCTTCATGGTGTTACATATATTTTGGTATGTTATGTTGTGTTTTTATTTTTATTCAGTTCCATGAAGTTTTCCTACCCTCATGGTTGTCCTGGAACTCACTTTGTAGACCAGGCTGGCCTTGAACTCAGATCTTCCTGTTTCATCTCCCCAGTGCTGGAATTAAAGGCATGTGTTACTGTTGCCTGGCTTAAATTTCCTTTTTGATTTCTCCCTTCATCCAATTCTTTCAGTACTTCATTGTCTTGTTTCCCTGAGTTTGTCTGTTCTATGCCATTTCTATTGTGGAATTCTGCTTTGTAACTTTATGACTAGATCAAATGCAGAATATTTAGTTTTCCTGTATTTGTTGAGACTTACATTGTATCCTTATATATGGTCAGTTTTGGGAAAAATCCCATGGGCTTTTGAGAACAAAGTGAATTCTTTAGTGTTTGCATAGAATGTTCTGTTATGTCCATTTGATTTATGATGTCACTTAACACTAGAGTTTCTCTGTGTAGTTTGTATCTAGAAAGTGGGTTATTAGAGTCCTACACTTTCACTGTGTCAGCATCAATCTGTGAGTTTTAGATTATTTCTTTTACGAAATTGGGTGGTCCTTTGTTTTATAAATGTTTTGAACTGTAATGTGCTCTTGGTGAATTTTTCCTTTAGAGTATTGATCTAAAGGTCTAGTTTTGGTTTAAAATCTCCTTTATTGAGAATTACAATAGTGTGTTTGTTTCTTAGTTCTGTTGGCTTGGAGTATCTTTTTTTGTTTCTTTACCCTAAAGTGGTATCTGTCTTTAATGAGGAGATGTGTTGTAGGCAACAAAAATACCCATCCCTTTTTCTAATCCCTCTGTTAGTCTGTTTTTATTGGAAAATTGAGACTGTTGCTACTTGGAGTTACTATTGAGCAGTGTTCATTAATTTCTGTTACTTTGTTGTGATGGTGATATTGAATTTTTAGGACGACTTATGGCTAACTGTTCTTGGGGGGGGGGTCTTTATTCCTCCTTTTTCTTGGGTATGTTTAATCTTCTCTTTAGACCTGAGTATTTCTTCTAGTATCCTCTGTTGAATTGGCTTAACAGACATGAATTGCTCAAATTTGGTTTAAATTATGAAGCATTTTTCTTTCTCTTCCAGTTATGACTTTTAAAATTTTGTTGGGTTTAGTAGTTTGAACTGACATCTGTGGTCATTTAAAAACTTGTAGGACATCAGACTAGGTCTTTCTTTCAAAGTCTATTGAAAAAGTATGGACTTGCCCTTATATGTGACTTGGTTTTTCTCTTTGTAGCTTTTAATAGCTTTTCTTTGTTCTGTACATTTAATATTTTTATCATTTTGTCTTCCACCCCCACTCTCATTCTATTTGGTTTTCTATATGCCTCTTGTACCTTGATAGACTCTTTCCTTAAATTTGGGAAATTTTCTTCTATTTGGAAATTATTTTCTGTGCCTTTGATCTAGGTTTCTTCTCCTTTTCTACTTTGTATTCACAGTTTTGTCTTCATAGTGCCCCAAATTTTTTGGATGATTTGTTCTTTGTCATTTTTATTTAAATTTTTTATTTTTTAATTGAGTGATTCATTTCTTCTTTGTCTTTGAGACATGCATTCTCCCTTTCATGTTATACAATCTGTTGCCTATCCTTTCATCTGAGCTTTCTATTTGACTTCATGAATCTGCCTGCCTGCCTGCTTGCCTGCCTGCCTCCCTCCCTCCCTCTTTTGTTTTTTTTTGTTTTGTTTTGTTTTGTTTTTTTGAAACAGGGCTTCTCTCTAACTCTGACTCTCCTGGAACTCATTCCAGGCTGGCCTAGAACTCAGAGAGATCCACCTACTTCTGCTTCAAGAGTCTTGGGATTAAAGGTGTGTGCCATTATCCCCAGCTAACTTCCTGACTTCTTCATTTGAAGTTTTGTTTGGCTTTTTTTCATAGAGTGTGTATTAAATTATATTTTTATATTGATTTGTTTTTATTCAACTTTATATTTTCTCAGTTTTTATTCAGGCATGTATTTATATCATTTTTTAGTTTCTTGAATATATTTGAAGGATTTTTAGGTTTTTTATATTTTTCAGCTAACCACAAAATTTCTAGGAGTACTTTCATATATATGTGTTCCTTGAAATATTACAGGCAGCAAATATGGACCTAGAAATACTTACAGTATGCCAGGTTGTCCTTCCTCTAGCAGTGTTGCCTCTATTTTCTACAGTTGTTATTGCCAGGCACTTTTGTGACATGAAAAGCTACTTTTCAGTTGAGTGTGGCATGACTGCTTTCTCTTGGTTCTTCTAACCCCAGTGCCAGCTTCTCATTTAGTTTTGTTTTTCATCTGTCTGAATTCTGAATAGTAAAAATTTCCCAGAATTTAATACTCTGCCTTTTGTCTTTATTTATACTGATTCACTTAGTCATCTGTCTTGAAATTCCTTCTTTTTACCATAGATGCCCTAAATTTATACTTCCATCTGGTTACTAGCTATCCAGTCCACAGTGTCTTTTCATTCATCACATGAATATCTAGCCAAATAGTACCTCAGACCTAACATGTTTAAAATCTAAAATTAAAAAAAATTATTTTTTATTTTATGTGCATGAGTGGTTGTTTTTTTTGTTTGTTTGTTTTTGTTTGTTTGTTTTGTTCGTTTTTGTTTTGTTTTCAGGACAGAGTTTCTCTATATTGCTTTGGAGCCTCTCCTGGAACTAGCTCTATAGACTAGGCTGGCCTCGAACTCACAACGATCCGCCTACCTCTGCCTCCTGAGTGCTAGGTGTATATGAGTGTTTTTTTACCTTTATGTATGTCTGTGTACCATGTATGTACCTGGTGTCTGAGGAGGCTCAGGAAGGGCATCAGATCCTATGGAACTGGAGTCACAGATGGTTGTGAGCTACCCATGTAGCTGCTGGGAATCAAACCAAGTCAGGTCCTCTGGAATGGCAGACATTGCTCTTAACTACTTAGCCATTACTTCAGCCCCTAAAGTCTAAATTCTTACTCTGTGAGTCTGCTATTCTCTTTCCCAGTTTTCATCTTCTGTATTTAGGCCAAAATTAATTGAGTCTTGAGTTCTTTATTGATTACTGCTTTATTGTACTCACTACTTTTATGGGTGGTCAGTGTCTGAGCCAAATATTCCGAAGTTTTTGATCTCTGATCCATTAGAGTTTAGGGTTTACACAGACAAGCAGAAGGAGCAAAAAAAAAAAAAAAAAAAAACAAAACAACAACAAAAAAAAAACCCTTAATTTGGAGCAAAGCAACAGTGCAGATCTGCACTGTAAAAAAATTGACACATGAGTGAGCATATTTAAGGACCAGTTATTGTTTGGGGCTTCCTTTTATGGGGTTAAGAAAAGGAGTTTGGTTATAAATGGGCATAGTTTGGGTAGTACTGTAATTTGATAGACTAGTTCAAACTTTTTTCCTAATGTGCATGTCCCTTCCCATAATGCATTTGACTTTTAATCAAATGCATACCCACTCATGCACAGCATAAGGTGCAATTGGGTGATTACCAGAAGGCACACTTTTACCTTACTTGGTATACAAATCTGTTCAGAATAAATCTGCTCTTCTGTTGTTTATACTTGTACATGTTGGGAATACACTTGCCTAGAAATTGTCAAAATTTGAGTGCTATTAAGGGTGTAGAAATTTCAGCTATTGTTCAGAGATGGAGTACATATTGCTAGTGCAGTTTGTGGGATGAGGACATTCTGAGGTTTCTTAAGTACATTTTTTGGAGATGCATATGTATACATACTATGTGAAGGTTAAGGAATTTGGCTACTAAGTACACTATTAAAATGTGCATGTGTGCATGAGTCTGTGTACATAACCAAAACCAACTTGGGGTCTTAGGTACTGAAACTCCTGTGTCTACCTGCCTCACTGTTAAATGGCATGTTGTAATTAGTCTCCACCACTTGTGACTAATCTGTTTGAGAAGAGGGATGCTGTTTGTCCTTACTACATGTTAAATACTTAAAATTGCCTGTATGTAGTAATTGCTGGGAATACTTGTTATTGAATAGATGCATGTATGAGATTATAATGGGAACAATAAAGGTTACTGGTTTTGAGTGCTTTTGAGGTTAAAGTTGTAAAGGTGCTAGACCTCAGAATTGATTTCTTCTCATTACTAGACCATGAAGGTTAAAGTGACTTGCTTTTTATAAATGTTTGCTCATGTTTTCCCTGATTAATGTGATTAGTTCCAGGTATTCTTTGCCAATGGCAGGGCTGTTAAATGATAATAAATGGTTTCAAAAGAACATTGCACATTCTAGTATGTATTTTAACTGATCCTTAAAAAACTTGTGTGATCTTTTGAGAGTTTTTTCCATTCAAACATTAAAAGGGTCCTTGTTTTAACTGACAGTGAAGATCTCAAAATTGTCTGTAGGTGCTGGGTCTTCAGCTCTAAAGAGGCCATTTGAAGATGGATTAGGAGATGATAAAGATCCCAATAAGAAGATGAAACGAAACTTAAGGAAAAGTATGTAAATCATTATTCTTATTGTGGGACCTGGAGAAAGTTTATACTTTCAGAAAAATAAGAAATGAAAAGTTTAATTGACTTAAATTAAAATTTTAAGAATAGACCGTAGTTAACAAAATTGGTAATTGGAGAACTTTGAGTTTCTAAGTTTTATTGCTTAAGACATCAATGAGACATTATTTTTACTGTCCTATTAATGTAAGAAATTTAAAGACTACTTATGGAGTGAATTTGTATTTTAAATTTTCATTTTTGTAAACACTACAAGAAATGTAAAAACATTGTATATTTTATGTCTATGAATGTTTTGTCTGCATGCATGTATTAGTACTATGTCCATGCCTGGTGCCTCTAGAAGAGGACATCAAGTCCCTAGAAATGTAGTTAACAGGTGGTGGTGAACCACCATGTATGTGGATGCTGGGAACTGAGTTCAGGTCTTCTGCAAGAGCAAGTGTTCTTAACTGTTGATCCATCTTTGTAGACCATCACATAGGGAATTTATAGTGGTTAATGGGAACTGTAGATGTACAGTTTGAAGCAAAATTACTTTCTAGTTAATTTCTAATCTAATTTCTCTTCCTTTCCTAGTTCTGGACAGTAAAGCAATAGACCTTATGAATGCACTAATGAGATTAAATCAGATCAGGCCTGGGCTTCAATATAAGCTTTTGTCACAGTCTGGCCCAGTCCATGCCCCAGTCTTCACAATGTCTGTAGATGTGGATGGCACAACATATGAAGCCTCAGGACCATCCAAGAAAACAGCAAAACTTCACGTAGCAGTGAAGGTAAGTGTTCTTTTACTTGTCAGTGCTTCCTTTGTTTTGTTCAGATAAAGTGCTTACCTGTGTCTATAAGGCTTTAAGGACAGTAACATAGAAACTTCTTTCACCTATTGATCACATTTGATGTTGTAACATAACATTTGTTGAATTTAGAAAATACAGAAAAATTTGTCAGTATAGTTCTGAGGCAAAGAAAATATTATACACGGTACATTGTTCATGGTGATGCTCTCTCTGTTTATGAGGGCATTTTTGGTAGGGAATAATAATGAACATCTTCTAACAATCAATCATGTATATGGATTATTCCCAAGTAATGGAATCTCTCAATAAATAAATTTGATTTAATATAGACTAATTCCAAAATGTCACAGATGATGCATGTACAATGAAGACTGAGTTTTACTTAAATTCTGTCATTTAAGAGGATATGGTATTAAATATAAAATAGTCTTGTTTTCATGGACATTACATTTGCTAAAATACTGTTAAAGTATTGCAAGAAGTAAGCTAGAGTTTATATAGAATTTATTATGAATAGGATGGAGATACAAATAATTGCATACATGGAAAGTATATGGTGTGTTAGTGATTAAAACTATACAGAAAAATAGTAATAAAGTGATAAAAATACCAGACAGTATATTCTGCTTTGTTTATGTTGGGTGATTAAATATGATGAGGGTATATGAGTATAAAATGAGACTTGTAAATTGAACCCAAGACTTAAGATTAGAAAAAAGAGTAAACTGCTTTAGTTGTTTTCTGTTGTTGTGATAGAGACCATGACCACAATCAGTTTATTTCAGCTTACACCTTACATACAGTCAGTCCATCGTGAAGAAAAAACAGGGCAGGAATCTGGAGAGAATAAGCCATGAAGGATTCATGCTTGCTGGTTTGCTCTCTGTGGCTTTCTCCATTTGCTTTCTTACACATTTCAGGGATGGCATTGCCCTCAGTGGACTAGGCCTTCCCACATCAGTCATTTGGAAAAAAAAAAAAAAAGCTCCTCAAACTTGCGGACAGGCCAATCATATGGGAGCTTTTTCTTGAGGTTCCTTCTTCCCAGGTGACCCAAGCTTATGTCATGATGACAAAACTTACCATCTGGTAAACATGGGGGACTTGTAGATGTAGATAGAGGTTCTCAGTTTGCTTTCTTACATTCCAACGGTGTCTAAGTACACATCCGAAGCATCAGTTATAATTCTAAGGACCTTGGGTCAAAGGAGCATGTTAACATCCTTTTTGAAAATTGTGTTTCAGAAGTAGATGGCTTTCATGTCTTTTTTTTTGGTTTTTTTTTTTTTTGGTTACAGTGTGCAGTTGAATAAGTCTGAACTATATGAAAAGTTGAGATTTGCTATTTTGAATGGTCACTCTGCTAGATTGCTAAACCACTCAGCCATGAATTGTCACAGTAAATCAGCTTTTAAGCTTTGGATACCCCTCTGTAGATAATTTGTTTGTTTGGCTTATGATGATTACTCAGCACTGTGATGTGGAGATGTAATCAGAAGTAGCCTGAGGTTTGTTCTGGGTCTCCCCATTCTTACACTATTTTATGTTCTGGGTAGCTGTATTCTAGAGTTTGCTTGCTGTGTTGAGGCAAGCAAGGTTCTAAGGTTTTCAAGTGAGAGAGAGAGAGAGAGAGGAGAGAGAGTATGTGTGTGTGTTGAGGGAGGTTGTACATGTGTGGTGGCATGGTTGACTTTCAAATGACAACTTGCAGGAGTTTGTTCTCTCCTTTTACCTTATGGGATCCACAGATCAAATTCAGGTCATAAGATTTGGCAACAAGTACCTGTACCAGTTATACCTAGCCAGCATAAGCTTTTCAGGTAGATTTTGATTGTATACCTAGATTTGTAAAAGTTGGTCTTTCTTTTTATTTCATGTGTGTGTGTGTTATAGTTTAGAAAATGAATGAAACATCCTTAATTCCAGTAGAATAATAGTAATAGTTTTTACATTAAGTGAAGAAGGTGTATATTTCTAAAATTCTAAAATTCAAGGAAGTTTACCTGTTTGATGTAATCATAGGTTTTGTACTAATTGGGTGCCAAGAAGCAAGCAGGTCCATGTTTTTGGTTTTCCGAGACAGGGTTTCTCTGTGGCTTTGGAGCCTGGCCTGGGACTAGCTCTGTGGACCAGACTGGTCTCGAACTCACAGAGATCCGCCTGCCTCTGTCTCCTGAGTGCTAGGACTAAAGAAATGCGTATGCCACCAACACACAGCTCTGTTTTTACATTTTATTACCCCATTTGTTATTTTTATATATGAATATGGGGTAGTACCTGAGAATTCATTAGGATTTGGCAAATAATTTGGTTTTATGTCTGGTTTAGGAAATGGTAACTTAAGAATTCTGAAAACAAATTGGCCCCAAGAGCAGTAGACCTACATGCTGTGTGTGTGTGTGTGTGTGTGTGTGTGTGTGTGTGTGTGTGTGTGTGTGTGTATTAGTTCCATGTAGTTTTGCTCATCTAAACATAAAGTTATTCTATTGAAGGTTGTTCTAATATTAACTGATGGCTGAAAAATTTATTTTTATCAAGTGATCATGATGTAATTGTTTTGGATGTCTTACTTATATTGTTTTTCATATTTTTGACCTTGTCTAATTATCCTTTAAGGTATATTCTAGAGATGGGATTACTGGGCCAAAATTAATGAATAATAATTCATTATAAAATATATTGGGAATCCTATTGTGTATCAGAACACATTGGCAGATTCCTTCCCTGTAGGTCTGCTACAGGCAGGCCATCCTTCCAGTTCTTTCAGTAGCCGTTGGGGAAAATACCTTTTAAGAAAGATAACATCAGAGTCAAAGCACAACAAATCAGTGTAGCATAGCTTCCCAAACACAGCTTCCCTCTCCTCCTGCAGCTCTTTTTCCTGAAAGCCCTTAACAGAGGGTACATTTAACATATTCTTGTCATGAAAATTATTGTGGCTAATGTGGAGAAAAGAAAACATGGAAGGGGACAAAGAGTGAAGATTTTTTTTTTTAAAGACATGCTTTTTCTGTATGGCCCTGGTTGGCCTGGAATGCACTCTGTAGGCCAGGCTGGCCTCAAACTCAGAGGTCCGCCTGCCTCTGCCTCTCAGTGGCTCTGAGTAAAGGCAACGAGTAAAGAAAGACCTTTTAGAGAAGTGGTTAGATCCATTAGGTATTCTAAGAACCTGAGACCAGATCTTCATCCTACAGAAGCCGTGGATCTTAGTTTCTTTTGAGTACAGAGCCATGGAGTATTTTATTTTCGTTCCCACTGCCCAGAATTGGTGGTAACTCATCTTTTGTAGTCTTAACCTGTATCAGACTCAAGTGTTTTCCAGGGAAAATGGAGCACAGTTACATGTATAACTTGGTTTTAAGTTACCTTGTTTCTGTGAATTATCATGAACATTTTAGACTCAGCTCATATGGCATTAATAGTTTTGAATATGTTTTCTAGATGCTTAAGCTGACTTTCTTTGCTGTACTGGTTTTACTTGATTTTGCCTTGACATTGGTTTTGCCTTGACATTGATTTCAAACAAAGTTTGGTTTTAATCGAGAAAGTAGACTAGGACAGTTATAAAGTAGGTGAAAATGGATTTGACACAATAGAACAAGTATTGCAATGGATGGTGGTGAGGAAAACATTCCATAATTTATTATCAAAGATCAGAGAATGATGAATGGGTGGGAAATTATTAAGAGGAAACATCAGGGGTAAAACAGGATTTGTTCTCTGTTTAAAAAAATGTGTGAGTTTGTGACTGTACAGGTGTGTACATGTGTGTATGTGGGGGCCAGAAGAGTGTATTGGATGCCCTTCCTTATCACTTTCTGCTTTATTCCTTTGAGGCAGGGTCTATCCCTGAACCTGGGGTTTGCATATTCTGGACTATGCTGGAAGTTAGCATGTCCCACCCATCCTCTTGCCTCGGCCCCACATGGAGCTGAGGTTACAGGTATGTACAGGATGCCCTACTTGTTGCATGGGTGCTGGGATCCAAACTCAGGTTCTCATGATTGTGCAGCAAGCTATTTTAACTACTGAATCATCTGACCAGCCCCTGACAGCCAGATTTTTTCTGAAGGCAGGCCAGGGTAATTGGACATCGTATGTGAGATTGTGTGATATGAGAGGATTTGGTCAGATAGTGTGAATGATAAGATAGGAACAGAACCAATCTTCACTCTTTGTCCTCTTCTGTTTTCTTTTCTCCACATTAGCTACAATAATTTTCATGACAAGAATATGTTAAATGTACCCTCTGTTAAGAGCCATTCTGATTTTTGCTGCTAGTGGGCTACTGAGAATAAGGACCATGGATGGAGCCTAATTATAAATTGGTCCAGCCAGGATGGGGTGGCACACATCTTTAATCCTGGCACTCAGGAGATAGAGGCAGGTGGATCTGAGTTTGAGGCCACCGTAGTCTACATAGTGAGTTCCAGGATAGCCAGGGCTACACACAGAGAAATCCTGTCTTGAAGTAAATTATAAAAGAACAGACAAACAAGAGAATTGTAGCTAGACTTTTGTCAAGTAGAGGTTTACCAGTTGTAGAGGTCTTGAGAACTCTTCACTTCTGACTTTTTTAGCCCATGTTAGCTAGTACTCTGAGTAGATGTGTGATAGAAAATGACTTGAAGTTTCTTACTAGTCATGTCCCTTGTCTGCTTACCCTCACCCTCACCCTCCCCCGCAAAACAAACAAACAAACAAAAACAAAAAAAATTGAATCAAGGGCTTCATGTATGCCAGGCAAGAGGTCCACTTCAGAGCAATTTTAAAGATTTGTTTATTTTTATATAAGTGTTTTGCCTTCTAGTATGTATGTGTGCTGGTGCCTGTAGTGATCAGACAAAAGTGCTGGATCTCCTGGAATTGGAGTTACAAGTGGTTGTGAGCACACATGGGTATTTGGTACCTAACCCAGGTCCTCTGCCAGACTGAAGGTCTCTCCAGCCTGTTATTTAAAAATAGATATTTGGTATCTATTTAATCTTGAAAGTGGATACTGTATCTCTCAAGAGATAACACATCACTTTTATAAATTGTTTGTAAATGACCTGGATTGTGTTGCTGTCTTAACTTGTGTTAATAAATGACTTATGACAAGTGAGGAAGCAAAGGAAGAAGTGCTAGTCTGTGATTAACTTTGAGGGTCCCATTGTCTGTGTTAAGCAGATAAACATTCTCCTGCTGTGATGCAGAGATTTGAACCAAGGCCAGTACCCCCTTTCCGAGCCACATCCCTCTCTGTGCCTTTGTACTAGAGGAGACAAGCCCCATGTGGGTGACGTTCAACTTTCACCTGCAATTATTAATGTTAGTTTTATATTGATGGCTCTTGTCCAGGAGGAGAGTTCTCAGGGAGAGCATTATTTTCAGAACTCAATGGAGCAGGTGTTTTTGTTTTTTGTTTTTTTCTCTTTTAATGAAATATTGATGTAGTAACCAAGTGATGTTAGTGAACTTAGTGTAAAGTGCTGTCTGAGTACTTTTAGAACTTAAGATGTTAAAAGGGATTCTTGGCTTTATTACCCAATAAAATCAAGGAACATTTATGAGAATGTCAGATTCCTCATATATGAATTAGATGAGTTAATTCCTTTTTATTAATTCTTACATTCCAATCCCAGTTCCTTCTCCCACCTCCCATGTGTTCCATGGAGAGGGTAAGGCCTCCCTTAGGAAGTTTACTAAGTCTGTCCCATCATCTAGTTGAGGCAGGACCAAGGTACCTCTCCACCCCCACACTTCTGTGTCTAGGTTGAGCAAGGTATCTTTCCATATAGAATGTGCTCCACTAGGTCAGTTTGTGCATTAGTGTTAGATCTTGGACCCACTGCCAGTGGCCTCATATATTGTCCCTGCTGCACAGTTTCACCTATATTAAGGAAGTCTAGTTGCTCTAATGCAGGTTCCCTAGTTGTCAAGACCTGAGTCAGTGATCTCTCACTATCTCACTGGGTCAGTGGATTCTGTGAGTTTCCTCATCATGGTCTTGACTCCTTTGTTAATATTATCATTCCTTCCCTCACTTTAATTGTATCCCAGGAGCTTGGCACAATGGTTAGTTGTCAATTTCTGCATCTGCTTCCATCTGTTTCTGGAGGGAGGTTCCAGCTTCTCTGGGGTTGTGGATTGTAGGCTGGGTATCTTTTGCTTTATGTCTGGTATCCACTCATGAATGAGTACATACTATATTTGTCTTTGTGGGTCTGGGTTACCTCATCAGGATGGTTTTTTCTAGTTCTGTCCATTTGCCTGCAAATTTCAAGATGTCATTGTTTCTTACTGCTGAGCAAGCAGTATATATGTACTACAATTTTCTTATCCATTCTTTGGTTGGGGGGCATCTAGCTTGTTTCCAATATCTGGCTATGATAAATAATGTTGCTAGGAACATTGTCCTGGTGGTGTGAGTGTGCCTCCTTTGGGTTTATGCCCAAAAGTGGTATTGCAGAGTCTTGAAGTAGGTTGCTTCCTAATTTTCTGAGAACTCACCACACTGATTTCCACAGAGGCTGTACAAGTTTGCACTCCCACAAGCAATGGGGAAGTGTTCCCCTTACTCCACATCCTCTCCAGCATAAGCTGTCAGTAGTGTTTTTGACCTTAGCCATTCTAATTGGTATAAGGTAGTATGTCAGAGTGGTTTTGATTTACATTTTCATGATGACTAAGGATGTTGAGCATTTCCTTAAGTGTCTACCCGCCATTTGAGGTTGTTCTGTTGAGAATTCTGTTTTAATTGGATTATTTGGTAGTTTGATGTCTAGTTTCTTGAGTTCCTTGTATATTTTGGAGATCAGCTCTCTGTCAGATGTGGGGTTGGTGAACATCTTTTCCTATTCTGCAGGGAGCTGTTTTGTCTTGTTGAATGTGTTCTTTACAGAAGCTTTAGATGAGTTAATTTCTGATTTGCTTTTACAGAGTTCAACTTAAGTCCCCTCTTATGCTTGGAGTATTACTGTTTATCTATATTGGTAAAATATTTTGTAGATGTCATTTTCTTTCAAAGACTTTTTTTTTTTTTAAATCTGACCAGTTGTAACATCATTTTTAGTCACGTATTAAGTGCAGTTGGTATAATGGAGAAATATGACATGGCTTATATACTCTAGAAACTGAAAGCTGGTCTTTTTAGATACTGCTCCTATATCTGTGGGCATATTGCTTTAGTTAAAGGCTGAGATAATAGCTCAGTGGTGAGCATGTATGTACCCTAGCAAAACGTTAGGCTTGATCCTTATCACTCTCTTTAATTTAAAAATAAAGTAAAAATGAATCCATTTTTTTTTTGTGAGTCAGTAACTCACAAAGTGATATTAGCCTACTTCGAAAGAGACTTAATAAGATATAGCAAATTCATTGTCTTGTTTATTGTAAAGCAGTACATTCTGAAAGGAGATGTCAAAGATGATGTATATATTCACATTTGCACAGGCACACATAGAAAATATTCTGAAAGCTTTGTTTCAGAAAATTGAGAGACCCCAGGGTCATAAAGCTATGTAGCCTTGAAAGAGACACTTGGGAAGCACAGCTGGAAATTATGGCTCTACTGGCAAACCAATTTGAAGGAAAACACAAAACAAAGCAAAACCAACCAAACACAAACACAACAAAGCAATAACAAAAATAACTCTGGATTCTGTCCCTTGGCCAATTTCTTAATGGTTGTCATAGAATTTAGCAGTCAACTAACCCAGTCTTCTTGCTTTGCAGATGGAGAGATTGAAGACCAGAGGAAAGTGATAGGAGTAGACTTTACATCTTTTTTCTTTCTAGTTTATTTTCCTTATTTTGGTGCTATTTGACTCTGCTCCCCACCCTTTTCCTTGGTAGAGCTTGACTATGCTGTATGTTCTTTATATTGTTCACCTCCAAATTAAATGAGCTAGCAGTAACTTTAGGTTTGTATTTCTGAAGTCTTTTGGCTAGGTACTTGGAGGAAGCTTTCCCATTTTCATGCAGTGCTGCCCTGATATGTGGAATGGACTGAACTAAGGATTCACAGATGTAATGCTGTCATGTTCTTCACAGGTGTTTCCAGAAACTAAATGTTACAGATTCTGAAGCTTTTAAGCTCAGAATTTCAGCTTACCTTTTTGTTCTTTGGTAACTGATTAAATGTTTTATTGGAATTTGTACAGGTTTTACAAGCAATGGGATACCCAACAGGTTTTGATGCAGATATTGAATGTATGAGCTCCGATGAAAAATCAGATAATGAAAGCAAAAATGAAACAGTGTCTTCAAACTCAAGCAATAATACTGGAAATTCTACAACTGAGACCTCCAGTACCTTAGAGGTATATTTGTGTTCTTTTCTTTCTTAGAATAAAGTAGTACGAGTGCTTTGGAAACCTTAGAGATGTGGAAAAGAACCATAGACGCATATAATACTTTGCTTTATTTTTTGATTTTTACTGGCTATCAAACCCTAGACCTCGTGGATATTAGACAAGCACTTTACCTCAGAGCCACAGCTGATAGCTGAGGTTGACAGTGAATTTGGAACCCTCCTGCTTTCACCTTCCAATTGCTGGGATTACAGGAGTATTGTTGCAACATCTGGCTGTTTTGCCATAACTGTGCCTATATTTATTTCTGAGTATTTATGAAGGGAGCCATATATTCACATAGCATTACATTTTGATCTTCTTTTAATGAACAACTAAAAAGAATCTATCAATATACCTACCTATGCAAGAAGAAACAAAGAAAAGATAATAAAATAGGTAGACCCTAATTTAAGTAGCCTACTGGACATGGAAGAGTCTTCTAGAATGTCATAATTATAATGTATCAAGACTATTGGTACTATCTGAAGAACAAAAACCTAAAAGATGTACTACAGGAAACAGATTGTTTTGAAGAGTGTGCTAAGCTGTGGCACATGAGAGTGTGCCTCGGTTCACTATTTAATTTGTACATCCTTACAGGAGTGCATAGATTGCCCACTGCATATTTCAGAATTGGAAGTCAGTCCTAGACTATGAACTAGTGGTCCCATATAATAGAATATGATGAGTCCAAGTACTGAGTGTGTATAATACATTGGGAGGAGTCTCTGCTAACTATATTCTCTCTGAAGAACTGGCTTTGGAATAAGAGCAGAAACTAGGGTTAGGAAAGATATACACATAGCAGACATACAGAGAAAAAGACTCTGCAGATCAGAGGGAGGACTTAGAAAGCTAAGAAACCCAGTCTTCTCTGGAGAGGCTTTAAAGCCTCTGAAGAGTCTTCCTCCTCTGTTTAGGGTCAGTCAATTTGAAGAAAGACAATTGATCTGTGGCATGTCCTGAGCAAGCAGGTCTTGAACTTGCATGTTCATCACAGAGGGCCTACTGGTGGAAGAAAAAAGCCACCAAGGCCTTTGTTTTAAGCTGCCAGACTTTTGTCTCAAGTATGGAAGGTGAGGAAGAAGTTGGCCATCTTTGGAAATTTGCCACCTCTCTTGCCTAGCCATAGCTCCTTTTCCTATCTCTGCCTAATGGTGAGTCTGTCTAAGTCCTAGTCTCATTATCCTTTCTCAGAGGTCACTCTAGCAAATGTTAGGGGTTTTAAGGATGACAACTCCTTTTAGCTTCTTTGAGCTGACAAAGGGTGGACAATGTGGGCAGCTGTCACTGCCTCAAAGGAGGGGTCATCTAAGAGGCCATGATGAAATTTATAGTGATCCAGAGCTTAAGAAGGCTATTTGGTGATGGTATATATCATGTGAGCTAGCATCTTGATGAGAAATCCCGACACTTATCTTAAGATACCAACTTAAAAAGTTTAAGATGACCCTTCAAAGTGATACTGTCTAGGAGTCTTGGTCAAGTTTGTTTTCTCTGCCAGTTAAAGGATTAAAAGATAGGGAAAATCTGGAGACAACAGATAGCAGCAGAAAATCTCAAGCCCTATAGATAGAATGGCAGTTGAAGGAAAAAGGCATTTTATTGAGGATGAGGAAACACAAATAGTAGACATGCATGAAAAAAGACTCTCTACAAACAGAGGGGAGGCTTGCAAAGACCCCTCCACAACCAATTAAAACACCCAAAACTTTACATTTAAAAAAGAAACAAACAAACAACCCCCCCCCCCACCAACTGTTTCCTCCTTGGTTGTAAGAATATTGTTAAGGACTCATGTCTGTAAATCCCTGTCAGTAACTGTTTAGTTCCAGGTGCTGCAAACATTGAATCCAGAGCCTGAAGATGCACCACTGTGGAAATCAGAAAGATAGGTTTATGACAGGAGTTCCAGACAAATGTAGTAATGTGAAATCTAAAAGGAAGAAATGGTTGTTCCTGGCACATACGAGATTACTGCATCAAGAACAGTTTTGCATGAGGAGTTTTGCCATCCCAGGGGTAGGGGGAATAGGTATTCTGGGCTGAAAGAAGGCAAGCTGCTATGACCTAGAGTTGCAAGTGCATGAGAAGTGGGCTGATTGGTGTAGAGAACACTGCTGGGGCATAAAGTCCAAGGAGGACACTAGGTTCTCCTAGGTTGCTGAAAAGTATAGGTATGGAGTCTGCTGGGAAAGCATTGGTCATTTACTGGTGGCAGTGACAGGGCCACATACTGTTCTGTTGACAGTGGCCTGTTTGCCAGGGCAAGGAAAAGCCTTTAAAATATGAAGTCCAGGTGACTAGATCACAGAGTGAATTAGGAAAGGATAGCAATATGAGCTGCTCTTATTGCAGCTGCATGAGTTTTGGTAGTACTGTTTACACTTTGTGGTAATTGAGTGGAGACCTCTTATTTTTTCGTTTAAAATAGTTTAATTAATCAAAATTGGATGATTTATATGTGCTGGCGTGTGTGTGTGTGTGTGTGTGTGTGTGTGTGTGTGTGTGATATAAAGCTTATTTGTTTGCATAAAAAGTGTTTTGTGGTTTGGACCCATCCCTCTAATAAAGCTGTAATATAGCCCTACCCCCCCCCCCCCCCCATATTGACAAACTGCACTTTGGCCTTTGACTTGCTAATTCTCCCTTCTCCCTTGATGCCTGCTCTTGGTTGGTCTGGCACTTATCTCTTTAAAGCCAGGTTTGTGTGTCCACAAAGAAAACTGTCCTGATTGCCTTTAAAAGTAATTCTGTGTGGATGGGTGTTGCAGCACATGGCTGTAATCCCAGCTCTTGGAAGGTAGTAACAGGAGGATTGAGAGTATAAAACTTGAGTTCCACCAGGCAGTGGTGGTACAGTCAGGAGACAGAGGCTGGTGAGTTCTCTTGTGAGTTCGAGGCCGTCCTGGTTTACAGAGTTCTAGGACAGCCAGGGTTACACAGAGAAACCCTGTTCTGAAAAACAAGACAAAACAAAAAGCATTGAGTTCTAGTTTGCTTGGTCTAGAGAATGAATTCTAAGTGAGATTTCATCAGCAATACAAAACAAGGTGATCCGTTCTCCCATGTTTCCATAGCAGTCACCTGCTCTGTAACACACAATTTCACAGTGATGAAACCAGGGAATGACCTCTTTTGCTGTTATTTTTAAACTTTAAAATCCAGTTTATAGGCTATCGTTTTTACATGTTTATAGGGACTGAGAGGCATGTAGAAACATTTGCTTCCTACGTCCAAAATTGAGTTAGTTTTTGCATACCTAAAGATGGAAATGGTGAACCTTCAAAGCATCCAACATTCCTGTTGTTGTATATGCTTTGTTAGTTACCTACAGTCTCAGAATATGAACAGTTGTTCAGTTCAGGCCCTGGACTCTGTGGAATGAGTGGCAAGGTCACCTTGGGTTTCTGACTGGGGGCAGTCCTGCTTCAAAGGCAGGCTGTTGAGATGACCACAGCAATTGCTGCTTGTAGGGTTTCAGCACCTTTGCTAATATTTGCTATGAGGGGACAAAGGAAATTCATTTTAAGGTAATTCATTTTAGCCCTTCAATATTTTAAAGTAGAATTAATGAGTTTACTTTTTAGCATAATTATGTTAAAAAGAAATTCCGTGTTGTGAAGTCTTGATTGAACCTCTATCTTCTTTTCTCTTTCAGGTAAGAACTCAGGGTCCTATCCTCACAGCAAGTGGCAAAAACCCTGTAATGGAGCTCAATGAAAAAAGGAGAGGTCTCAAGTATGAACTCATCTCAGAGACTGGGGGAAGCCATGACAAGCGCTTTGTGATGGAGGTATGTACCTCCTTATTTTTCATCCCACAGATATATTTTTGAACTGATGGTAAAAAGCATTTTAGACTTCCATTAGCTTTTAAGAACACTATTTAACTTTCATTATTTTCTTCCTTATGACATTCTTAAAAATACCATTTTTTTAGATTTGTTTATTTTATTTTATGTGTACTAATATTTTGCTTCATGTATGTGTGTCTGTCATTGCCTGTTGAGTACCCTGAAACTGGAGTTACAGAAAGTTGTGAGCCACATGTGAGTGCTGAGAATTGAACCTAGGTCCTCTGTAAGAGCCTCAAGTGCTCTTAGCCACTGAACTATTTCTCCAGCCCTGTAATTGTAATGTCCATGAATTAAAACCTCATATGCAGAGTTGTCTGAAATAACTGTGAAGTGCTGTTTTTACTTTCAGGTAGAAGTGGATGGACAGAAATTTAGAGGTGCAGGTCCAAACAAGAAAGTGGCCAAGGCAAGTGCAGCACTAGCTGCCCTGGAGAAGCTGTTTTCTGGACCCAATGCAGCAAATAATAAGAAAAAAAAGATCATTCCTCAGGTATGAGTGAAGCAACCTTGTAATATTCTCAAGTTAAATTTCCTGCTTATTTGCCATTTTACTGTCTCCTCAAATTTCATTTTATTTTATTTTTTTTTTTTTTAATTCACACTTGGGAATTGAGGCAGACAGATAGATCCCTGTGAGTTCCTGGCCAGCCTAGTCAAGATACCTGAGTTTCAAACCAACCAGGGCTACTTATTTATCTTGTATTTCTGTGAATGCATGCTACATGTGTGCGGGTGCCTACAGAGCCCAGAATAGGGTGGGAGATCCCCTGAAGCTGACTGGAGTTGCAGGTGGTAAAGGCAATTGTGAGCCACCAGAAGTAGGTACTGGGAACCAAACTCAGAGCAGTGCACATTCTTAATTGCTGAGCGGTTCACTGTGATATTTTTAATTGTCATGTAAGATAAGGGGTTTCATTATGACTGTCCTTTTTGGTTTTTTGAGACAGGGTTTCCCTGTGTAGTACAGGCTGTAGATCCACCTGCCTCTGCCTCCCGAGTGCTGGGATTAAAGGTGTGCATCACCATGTCATGGCTTATTGTGACATTTTTATACATGTTTGCAACTGACCTTTGTTTTTCCAACCCATTGCCCTCTCTCCTGTCCCAATTCCTTCTTCCCCACTGCAGGTACTTTCTGCCTCCCAAATAGTCTTTTTTGTATATCATAATGATCACCATTTCCATCCATTTTTTCTGGATGTGTGTGTATTATATTTTATCCATTTATCTGTTGATGAACTTCTAGGCTTATTCTGTATCTTGACTATTGTAGATACTATACCAATAGATATGGATGTGAAAGTATCTTTAGTGTAGACTTACAGTTCTTTGGAGTGTTACACTGTAGTTCTAGTTTTAGCTTTTTGAGGAACCTTTGATTTCTATAGTGGCTGTCAAACTTACATTTCTACCAGCAGCAAATAAATATTCTTCTTTTTTAAAAAAATTTTTGCCTGCATGAACATATGTATATATGTGCACTGTATGTATGCCTGGTGCTATGGATCTCTTGCAACTGGGGTTAAAGACAGTTGTGAGCAGCCATATGGGTGCTGAGAATTGAACCTGGGTCTTCTAAGAGAGCAACCAGTTCTCCCAAACACTGAGTCATTTTTCTAGACCCTTTGAGTAAGGATTCTTAATCTACATCCTTGCTAGGATTTGTTGTTTCTGTGTGTGTGTTGTTAGGGTGGTGGAGCCATACAGGTAGGTATATCTAATGGTCTTGAGCATGCTAAACAAACACTCTACCACTTTCCTACATTTCCAGCCATGTATTCTTGACCATAGTCCTTACTTGGATTAGATTTAGCCTCAGTGTATTTATCTTTGTTTTTCTCTGATGTTTAAGGTTGTATTCAGCATTATTTAAAACATTTATGGGTGTTTATATTTTTCCTTTGAGAACTGTCTATTCAATTCATTAGCCTATTTATTGAATGGTTTTTTTTTCTTTTGGTATTTAAATTTTGGAGTTCTTTACAAATTAACAATAATTCTCTGTGGGGTGGCCAATATTTCTCTCCCATTTTGCACACTGTTGTATCAGTCATTTTGATGATGGTGGTTTTCTTTATTGTGTAGTGGAAGCAACCCCATTTGTCCATTCTTGAGTGTATCTCCTGTGCTATTGGGATTCTTCCAGAAAGCCCTTTGCATGTGCCTATTTCTTCATATATTTCCCTTAACAGTCTCAGAATTTCTGGTCTTTCTTTTAAGGTCTTAGGCATATTTTATTTTTTTTATTATTTGGGAGGTCTTGGGTAGCGATTGGGCCTTTTATTCCTCTCTGTGTAGATATCCCTTTTCTTTGTTGATGAAGTGGTCTTTTTTCCAATGTATGTTTTGACACCTTTGCCAAATAGTAATTGTTTGTAGCTGTGTGGGCTTATTTCTAGATCTTTTAGCTTCATTGATCTCTGTGCTGTTTTGTGCTGGTACCATGCTGTTGTGGTTACTATGACTGTAGAATAATTTGAGATGAGCTCTTATGCTTCTTCCAGTCTTAAAGTTCACCATAAAGATCATTCATCACTGATTAAATTTTTTCCTGTATATTTTGGTTAGAAGCTGTTAAGAATTTGGCAATTTTTTACAGATATCAAAGTTAGTAATTTTTGTTAATTTTATATTCTGCCACTTCGCTAAGAGTGTTTATTAGATTTACCTTTCTTTTGTGAAGTCTTTAGGGTCTATTACTTAATAGGTTCTTGTTGTTTGCAAATAGGGGTAATTTGACTTCTTTGTCCCTTATTTCTCATTTTACTGCTCTAAGTAGGACTTTGAGCACTATATTAAGTAACAACAGAAAAAAGAGGCAACCAACTCATTGTGATTTTTTTTTTTCACTTTTACTATGTCAGCTATACATTTGTTGTATATAACATTTTTTTTTTTTTTTTTTTATGTTTAGGTATGTTCTTTCTATTCCTGGTTGCTTTGAGCCTTAAATATTTTTTGAACATATTTATTTGTTGCAGAGAGGAGGCATACATGTCAAGGTATGCATGTAAAGTTAAGGTAACTTGCAGAAATTGATTCAGCTCTATACCATGTGGTCTTTGGGGCTCCAACTCAGTTAATCAGGATCAGTGGCAATCACCCTACCTGTCAGGCCATTTTATGTAGCACAAATAATCAAAACCCCGAGACAGAGACTGGGTTTAAAGCTGAAGATCAGAAAAGCAAAGTGGCCAGCCACTAGAGAGTTCTCAACTCTACCAGTGATCAAACTGAAGGGGTGATCCATCCAATCCCACACTGCTCCCAAATGCAGTGCTCCTCAGACTGCACTGACTCCTGTCTCCTCCCACCATATAGTCCTCTCTCCACCCTGTCATATCCCCCCTAGTCTCCATCCCCCTAGTACCATGATTAAAAGTGTGTCATCCCAAGTGCCATGGGATCACCTTTGTGAGTACTTTTTTTCTCTTTCAGTCTGATTTCCTCTCATGCAGCCCAGAGTGGCCTTGTACTCAGAGATCCATCTATCTGCCTCTGTCTCCTGAGTACTGGGATTAAAGGAGTGGCCACCACTGCCTGCCACTGCCTGTATGGCTAAGTAGTGGCTCAGATGTATGGCTAACCTAGTAGGTTAGTGTGTGTGTGTGGGGGGGGGGGGAGACAGCTAACTAGTGACTTAACTCTGCATTCTTTAGGCAAGCTTTATTTGTTAGATCATAAACAAAATACAAAATTTTACTGGCCTGCTTCTGGATTTTTTTTTTTTTTAAATCATGAAGAGATGTTGAACCTTTTCTGTACCTATTGAGATGATCCTGTGATTTCTGCCCTTAAATTTGCTTATGTGCCACTTAAGCTTTGTGAAATTGCTTATTATTAATGTTTTGGTAGCTTTCTCTTTGGGATAGGTTATAAGTAATATACATCAAGACACTACTTCTCTGTGTAATGGTTTCTGCCCATAATTTTATGCAGAGTGGAGTCATCATTGGTGTAGTGAAGAATGGAGGTGATTTGGGCTTTGTGGTAAGAACATTTGTCTAGTTCAGGGCACTGCCTGACTTCTGAAGCTTTCTCATCCACTTTCTTAGTATCATGCTCACCTACATTGTGGTGGTAGTTGATGTTTGTTTAAGGGTGGGAGAGAGACAGAGACTCTCCTCATGGGCAGCACCAAACCTGACAGTGTTGTCTGTGTAGACAACTGCTTTGGGAATGTTAATGCCACTGGAGGTCCAGGATCTTTATAAGGTTTTGGAATAGATGGCCTCCTAATTATATATGTTAGTGTGAGATTTTTCCATTCCTTCATTTTTGTATCACAGAGACATTTTTAGACATAGTTTATATCATATTACATACACAATTCTGAGGTAAAAAGAGGTAATGTGAGTAAAATATAAGACAAATTATCTTTCTCATACTGAATGCTGATGGTAACACCAATGTCTGAATACATTATGTGATAGAGACAGATACATTGTTTAGATTAATGAAAGGAACAGACTATTTGAACTTCACGGAAACTTGATATTTAGACTCTTTTATATATGGTAAATCAGTTATAGGAGGTTAAACACTTGTAGGTAGTAACATGGTTAATCGATGAAGTCTGTCAAAGGCACTGGGAAAAGGGAATTAGGGGAGGAGGATCAAAAAAACACAAAGTAAGTATAAAATGTGACAGTGAAACCACATGACCTAGCACTCAGGAGGCTGATGCAGGTGGATCTTGGTGAGTTTGAGGCTAGCCTGGTCTACAAATAGTTCCAAAACAACCACAACAAAACAGAACCCAAACTAGTATCTCTCTTCCTGTTAAATGGTGAAAAAAAAAGCAACTTTAATTTCCATGTGGATACATAGGTGAAAACAAACAAACAAACAAAAAACAAGAGGGAAAGCCAGAGAGCCCTAGTACAGCAGAGTGACAGGTGTCAGGGAACTTGCTGCTGCTGCTGCTTTAATTCTGGCCACAGGCTGCCTCCGTTTGGTGCTGAGAAAATTGCTTCCTAGGGACCAATCTCCATTTGCTTCTCAGGATATTTATCCGTCCTGTGTTCTGAAATTGAAGATAAACAGAGAACAACTCATGATAGTGAGTGCATGTTCCTTCAGTTCCCCTCTGTTAAATGTTTCTTCTATTTATTTATTCCATTTAGCTTTGCTTTGGGTCGGTGGCTGAGTTGGTTGATTGCCTGGGTGGTTGGATTTTTTGAGACTAGTTCTCAACTCTGTAGTGCAGGTCAATCTTTAACTCAGAACCCTAACTGCTTCAGCCTACTAAGTGCTGGGATGTGTGCTCACCACTATGCTCAACTCTGCTCTGTCTTAGATGTCATTCATCATTTATTTCCTTCATAGCTACTTCTGGCTGATGAGATAATGTGGGGATTGTGGAAGGAAGACTGACAATGAGAAATTTTCTCTTGTGTTTTTCTGAGGATTATAGCAGATGCACATCCAGGCTGATAGTAACATGACATTACCAGGCCTTTTTTCCTATGGTGCCAGCCTTAACAATAA